CAATCATCGTGTTGCTCGCCGCGCCGCCCGCAGGCCCCGGTCCCTCGGTCTTGGTGCCGTGGGACGCACGGCAGCGAATGCAGGGCCGCAAATGTTACAGCGACGATGCCGACGAAATGAATCCAATAATTGTCGACATCCCCGTGAAAACTACCCCCTTAGTGCCTTTTTTAGCAAGCAAAGAGACACCCCCCGGTCGGTGTGGATGGAGGTCGGTCGGTGTGCGTCTTCCCGGCATCCGTCATATGCATATCAGTCAACAGTCATCCCGGTGGACTTAGCGCGGCATCGCGATCGGACCGCACCACGTTCACAACAAAAACAACATCGAGAAAGGGACGAGGGACCGAAAGCGCGCCGCGGGAGCCACCCCTCCCGGCCCAGCCGGAGGGGTTTGTCGTTTGAATCATCCTTCATCGTCTTAGGGTAGCTTAAAAGGGTGGGCCCTGGGGCGCCTGCGGCTTAAACGGCTTAAAACCTGCCATGGCAGGTTTTAAGAGCTGCTGGGCCGCCGATTCATTAAACGGTCTTAAACGCTTAAACGGTGCGGGAGAGCTCCCGAGGTCGATGGTCCGGGAGGCTCCCGGTAGACGCCGGAGGCCGGGAAGCTGGCTACAGTCAGCTAGCACGCGCCCCCTATGCGAGTATGGCTTACAGATGTGTCTTCAGAGGCGGTTTTGTGCCTAATAACGGCAGTATTGGAGAAAACGGCGCGGAACCCAGCGACGCATGGCCGGTGAGGCCGATTTTCTTAAACGGTCTTAAATGAGGGACCCCCCGTGCCTGCAATCTCTTAAATGGCAATTTCAGCCCCCAAATCTCCTCATTTCTTAAAAGGTCTTAAAAAAATCCGGCCCTCAGAACCCTAGCCCCTAGGGGCACCCTTAAGTTCATCGTACATCGAGCGAGTTGAAGAACACTTTGAAGAACTTGAAGTTCAACTTCAAGTTGAACTAGGGCAACTTGTGCTGTGTGCTCTGTGACTGTGTTGTTGTGTGTTGTGTTGTGTGCGATAAATTCTCGCTCCAGCTTCAGATGCCGCGTTCTACCCCCAAACAAAAGTGCGCACACAATACCCGTGCCAAAACAGCAAACACTGGCAGGCAGTTGGGGTGTAGAGCGCACTGACTCCACTCTGTACGGATTCAGACTGTACTCTGTAGCGGCAGCGGGGCGGATGTGTAGCGGACCCAGCTTCCCATTTTGGCCCATTATGCAGGCCAGAGGGTAAAAAGCCGACTCTTTCAGTAGATCAGTATCGGCGAGCGGGCGGACCCGCGGCTTTTTTAAATCGCCAGGGTCTAACACTCTTGTCTATTATTCCGCCTCGGCTCCTCCTGCGCCCGGCCCTCCGGCAGCCGTCTGTAGGATCCAGGCCAGGGCGATTGCGTTCGGGACGTAGTGCCACGCCGAATGCCAAGCGAGGAAAGGCACCATCCGGCCCCACACCTCGCACAGCCGCGAGGGGATGAAGGTGAGGAAGGAGAGCACCATCGCCGGAGCCTGCCGCAAACGAGGGAGGAGGGGGGGGGGGGGGAGTGGAGCCCGCAGTGCGCCCTCAATGGGATCCGCCTCGCCCCTTCTCCCTCACCAACGCCGGGTGCGCGGTGCTCTCTGCAGACGCCGCCCACACGCGGGCGGTGGCGGCGGCGTTGGCGGTGAGCGTCCACGCCAGCAGCCGGTCGAGCGTCTGCCACAGACGTCGGCTGAACGGGACGGGCCTGCTCGCAGCTCCAGGTGTTGGGGTGAGGGTGGAGGGTGGGAGGGTGAGGGTGAGGGTGAGGGTGTGGGTGTGGGTGGAGGGTGGAGGGGGGAGGGGGAGGGTGGAGGGTGGAGGGTGGGTTCGCAGCTGCGCCGCCAATGGCGAGAGGGGGCGGCAGGGTTCGCCTGCCGAGCGTGGCGACGGCATCGTTCATGAAGGAGAGGCCTCCCTGCAGCAGCAGCGCCGCCGCGAACCAGCCGCCGCCGCACAGGACGGTGGAGCGGAAGGCGGTGGGCAGGCGGGGCAGGCAAGCGGCGTAGACCGCGCCTGGAGGAGGCGTGCGGGGGCGTGGGAGAGACGATGCGCGGGCTACGAACAAGGTTGAGGTCCTCTCGGGTGCTCAGTCCCCAGGCTGGCGGGCGGGGGGGACGTGGACTCCGCCGTCCAGCACCACAACCGATAGCATGTGTCAAAGCCCCCATCGACGCTGCCAATGTGGACAGGCTAGAGCGCCGCGCCCGTGGCCGAGTAGGCAAAGCACGAGGCGCGGTAGGCGAAGACGAGGCGGGGGCGAGACGCCTCGAGCTTGCGCAGCTGCGCCTGCGGGAAAGCTCCGAGAAGCATCCCGGAAGGCTCGAGGAAATGCGCGACCCCTCGAGCGCGCGCAGCGTCGCCGTGCGGTGCTCGAGCGACGGGGCGGCGGAGGCGGCGGCGGAGGCGGCGGCGGAGGCGGCGGCGGCGATGCGCCTGCAGACATCTCGGATGTGTCTCGGCTGCATCTCGGCTGCATCTCAGCTGCATCTCGGCTGCATCTCGGCTGCATCTCGGCACCTGCAGATGATCACGCCCCAGCCGAGCTGCATCGCGGTGAGGACGGCGTTGGAGGCGAGGTAGAAGAGGGTGGCGCCTAGCAGGCTGCGAGAGCTGTCATGGGGGGAGGGAGGAGCGAAGGTCGGAGGGGGAGAGGCTGGCGCCCATAGAGGGGGCGGAGCGAGGAGGGAGGAGGGTGGAGGGAGGAGGGTGGAGGGAGGAGGGTGGAGGGAGGAGGGAGGGAGCGAGGAGGGAGGGAGGGAGGAGGGAAGGTCGGAGGGGAGCAGGCACCGCGCGAGGCGCAGGCGACGTCGCCGCGGAGGGCGAGGAGCGAGTCGCTCCAGAAGCGGACCGTCACCGCCGGCCAGAGCAGCAGGCGGAGAGTGACGAAGCTCGCCGCGAAGACGGCCCTCGCGGCAGAGTAGCCGCCTGGGCACGCCGCGCGGGCAGGGGGGAGGAGCCTAGCGCAGAGTGAGCGAGAAGGGGTGGAGGGTGCGCATGGCCCTGACCGCAAGCCTCTAAGCCAAGGTCGCACTTGCAGAGCTCGATCCACCCGAGCGGGAGGTTGGAGAGCTCGGCGGCGCCGGCGAAGAAGAGGATGTAGTGGTGCGTGTATGGCACCTGCTCCGACCAGGCCGGCGTGTGTGTAGACGCGGCGTGCGGAGAAGAGGGTGCGGGTGCGGGTGCGGCACCGGGTGGGTGGCGAGGTGGGCGAGGGCGCCGGTGAGGAGGTGGTGCGCGATGAGGGCGGGCTGCCGCAGCTCGGGCAGGGAGAGGTAGAGGAGGAGGTCCGAGGCGAGGTGCGCCACGAGCGGAGCGAGCACATGCTTGCGCACGTACGGCAGGTCGGAGTAGAGGCGGTCCGCGGCCGTCGCAGGCACCTAGGGTCGGCGAAGGGTAGAGGCTGAAGCAAAGTGTGTCCACGGCGGTGGTGCGAGGGCTTCTGGCGTGGGACGCTCGCCTCGGCGCCGAACCAGGCGCAGCCTGCCACAGCGAGGTAGAGGTTCCCGGCCACAGTGCACACCTAGAGGACGCGGAGTCGCGATCGCGCGACGGACGGACGCCAATCCGCGGCGCTCGGCGGCCTCTGCACCTGATAGCCTACCAGCAGCGATGCCCGCGTGCCGTGAGCACCTCGTGCCGAGCGCCAGCGCGGGCGCGACTCCACAACGCAGACGGTGGCGGCGAATAGGAGGAGGAGCCAAAGCATGAGTGGCGCCGCCGCGGAAAGCATGAGTGTTGATCGCGGTGTCGCCTCGCCCAGCATGGTGTGTCGGTGTCGGTTGCCAGGAGTAGTACTGTGCTGCATGAATGCTTGCCCAGGTGTGAACAACACCCCCCGCCTGTTGATGGGTCCAGGTGATAGCCCTGGGTGGACAATGCATACGCCTAGTTGAGCCTCAGATCGCCCGACCGCGTCCCGGTGCTCTGTGGTCGGATTTGTGACGCCGCCGCCCTCCGGAGGACGAGGATGGCCGTGACGGACCGGGACGAGCTCTGGGAGGTGGAGTGTCAGTGAGTATATTGTAGAGACCATATGCACAATATCTCTCAGTCTAGCTAAGCCTGGGATACCCATCACTGAGCCGACGATGCTATGGGTAGCCCCAGGGTGGCGCCCACCCCCATACCCTCAGGCACTTGCCTGCGCCCTGGCCGCGCATGCCGCGCACGCGCGCGCACGCCCGCGCACGCCGCGCACGCGCGCGCACGCCCGCGCACGCCGCGCACGCGCGCGCACGCCCGCGCACGCCGCGCACGCGCGCGCACGCCCGCGCACGCCGCGCACGCGCGCGCACGCCCGCGCACGTGCGCGCACGCGGCACTACGCCCGCGCACGTGCGCGCACGTGCGCGCACGTGCGCGCACGCCCGCGCACGCCCGCGCACGCCCGCGCACGCCCGCGCACGTCCGCGCACGTCCGCGCACGTCCGCGCACGCCGCACTACGCGGCACTGCCCAGGTTCCCTCACGCTCAGATTCCCTCACGCTCAGATTCCCTCACGCTCAGATTCCGTGCAAGGGGGTGCCGAGGTATGCCGCAGGCCGGGATGGAGTGAGATCTTGCGGGGCAGGGCGTGGGCTAGTGCGCGAGGGCGCAGGCAAGTGCCCGAGGGCATGGGGGTGGGCGCCACTCTGGGGCTACCCGTAGCATTGTCGGCTCAGTGATGGGTATCCCTGGGAAGGCGATGCCGGGGCCGTGCAACAGCTTGATGGTGCTTCGCCGGCGTGCGTCCCGGAGCGGTCCCGGTTGGGCTCAACCCGGTTTGCCTCTCGCACCCCGTCTGTTTTCCTTTCCTTTTTTCTCTACAACACCCTCTCTTTTCCTCTCTATTTTCCCGGGAAAACTGCGTGGAAATCGTCAAATTTTTGGCTCTGAGCCGAGTCTGAGGCTGGTTTGGGCCTGAGGGAGGGTGTAGAGGATGTAGAGTGTAGAGCGCTGTAGAGCTGTAGAGAAAAACATAACGAAAAGAAAAACGAGTGCGCCATGCCGCAGCTCCGCTCGCGCTGCTTCTTCCCCGTCCTCGTCGTGGCCGCGCTGCTGGGAACGGTGCACACGATCCTCCCCTGCGCGCTGCTGCTGTTGCCGCTCCCTCTCGCGCCGCTGCGGCGCGCGTACCGCGCCGCCGTCTGCTTTGTCGCCTGGGCTTGGTTCACGCTTGCCGCGAGCCTTCTCGAGGCTGAGAGCGCGGTGCGCGTCACCGGCGACGCACCTCCCGCCTCGGACCGCACCGTCCTCCTCGTGTGCAACCACAACAGCCGCGTCGACTGGATGTACGTCTGGGTGCTCGCCGCGCGCTTTGGCGTGGCCGAGCGGCTCAAGATTGCGCTCAAGGACTCGCTCCGCCGCGCGCCGCTCTTTGGCTGGGCGATGCAGGCCTTCCTCTTCGTCTTTCTCTCGCGGCGCGACCGCGACGCAGACCTCGGCACGCTGCGCTCCGTGCTGTCGTACTGCGCGCACGGCCTGCGCGAGCCGACCGCGTTCCTGCTCTTCCCCGAGGGGACGGACCTCTCGGCCTCGAACCTCGAAAAGTCGCGCGAGTGGGCGGCCAAGCGCGGCGTGGCGCCCTTTGACCACCTGCTCCTGCCTCGCGAGGCGGGCTGCGAGCACGCCACGGACACAGACACATACACAGGCACAGACACGCACACGCACACCACACCACACCACACCACACACACACACACACACGCACGCACGCGCGCGCGCACGCACGCACGCACGCACGCACGCACGCACGCACACACACACACACACACACACACACACACACACACACACACACACACACACACACACACACACACACACACACACACACACACACACACATGCCCACCCACGCCTGGCGTTTCAACGCCGTGGCTGAATTGGGACGGTGGATAGCCCACCCCTTGCGCCGAACACCTGGACAGCTTCGGCCTCGCCTCGCCTCACCTGCCGACTGGCCCCCTAAAGCCCCCACCTCACCCCGCCCCGCCCAGGCGGGCTTCGTCGAGACCGTGCGGGCCTTTGGCGGCGCGCTCGACGCCGTGTACGACGTGACGGTCCGCTACTCGCCCGGACAGGGCGCGGCCGGCGGCGGCGGGGCCGGCGGCGGCGGCGGTTGGAGGCCGTCCGAGGTGGAGATGGCCCGCGGTGTCTTTCCTGGCGCGGTCGAGCTGCACGTCCGCCGCTTTGCGCGGGGCGAGAGATAGACGAGAGACGGCAAAGAGATGGCCGGGGGGGGGGGGAGGGGGCGGAGGGAATTTAGTTCTTCGCAGCTGCTTCTGAGGCGCGGTCTCCCCCCTCTCTCTCTTCAGGCGAGCTGCCGCTCTCGTCGGACGAAGCGCTTGGTGGCTGGCTGCAGGAGCGGTGGGCTGCCAAGGAGGCGTGGCTGGCGGCGCGGGCAGCGGGAGGGCCGGAGGCGGAGGCGGAGGCGGCGCCGGCGCCGCTGCGCGTCTACGCCGCGGCGCGCCTCGCGTGGGCGATCGCCGTTGCCGCGGTCGGTGCGGCGCTGTGGCACCGGCCACTCGCGCGGTGGCTGACGGCGCTGGGGTGTGTGCTGCTCGCGCTCGCGACGAGCCTCACGGGCGGGCTGGGCGTCGTCGAGATGGTGACGGCGCCGGCCGCGCTGAGGGTGGGTAGGGACACGAGAGGGGAGAAGAGGGAGTAGCCAGAGTATAGGACACCGCTCGGACCGGGATGCGGGTGGGAAGCGGGAACTTTTCGGTTTTCGTCTTTCCCGGAGTATTGAGTGCGCTGCGGCAGTGCTTGCCATTTACTGGTAAATGAGTGGTATTTACCACTTATTTGATTCTCCTAGGGAGTGGTATGGTATGAGCAGAGAGTGGTATGGAGGTGTGGACAAACCAGATCCCACTATGTTATATCATAGGATATAACATACTGAGATACCAGGCTCTTCCCTGGCATATCAGCTATCAAGAAACCGTCGGACTTCTAGGAGGAGGAGCTCTGTGTTCTGCTTTTTCGACATATCCCACAGAAAACATCCGGGCCATGGGAATATCGGTCCAGACACTCTGGGTTCTGGTTTTTCGAGGTGTGAACGATCTCCCCGTGGAGGGGTCATTCCGGCGGAATGACCCTTCATTAACTAATCGGATTCCGAATGGGTCGAACGGGAGTACTAAGACAGCAGCATGTTCTGGGTGGGAGGAACCCTTTGGGGGGAACCGTTTTATCGCTCCAGGCATTATGGTTTCTGGTTTCTGGTTTCTGCTCCGAAAGCGAGGTTGGCGGCGCGCCGCGCTGCCACGCACTTTTGTGGCTCACGGGAGGGAGGCCTGCGATGCGGTCGAGTCCGCCAGGCTGCCGCGATCCCGAGCGGAAACGCCGTGGCAGCCAACATGGCTGCCTCGTGCATCGGACGCCGACCGGCGGGGCCGTTGCTTGTCATGCCCAAGCCCTGAAAGGCTGAGCTGTGAAAGGCAGGCGTTGTGCGAGTGTTTTGAGTACCTATCGCCTATCAATAGAGTGTTTGGATCTACTCTGTTGGAGACAGAAAGAAGCTCTATCACAACGTCGGCGGAGCGGCCAATGCGCGCGGCGATCTTGAGGGCACCACCAGGAGCTGGCAAGGCCTCATCGCACGCTACCACACGTGCCGATCCGTGCCGAGAATTGCCCGCACCCGGCGTTGACAACCTCAGCTTAACACTCATCACCAGTCGCGACCAATCGGAGCAGAAACCAGAAACCAGAACGCAGATCCCGTTCCGTTTTCGCGGTTCCCATTTGAAAAAAAAATCGGAGGGGGTACACCTGTTCATTGGCCGGAATGAGCTCATTAGGACGAAGCGGGAGATGTCTTCACACCGCAGAAACCAGACCCACAGGCAGATCCCACGGGAAATCGAGGCGGGTGTCCCAGAAAACAGATCCCAGAAAAAACAGAGCGCGCCGCAGAAACCGACCGACCCCTGGGTTTTCGGCTATGGGAAACCGCCATGGGAAACCGCAGCAGAAACCCTATGGGAAACCGACGTCTGGTATCTGCTTTGTCCACGAATGGTGGTATGGTAAAATACCGAACACAATACCGACCGCCCACCAGCCGGGCGCAGCCCGGCTGGGCGCCGGCCGCCGGTGGACCCCCCACTAGCCACTACGACCGCCCCCCATCCAGGAGAAGAGCGTGGCGGCCATGATGCCATCGCCATCGCCCGCCTCCTCCCCCGCACCAGCCGCAGGGCCAGCAACCTGGGGCATGGGGGCTCCGCCGCCGCCGCCACTCCCATCACTGCTGTCCGCAGCGCCGACCAGCTCCGCCAAGGCAGGTGCGCTCCACACTCGGCTCTCGTAGCGCCCGCGCGTGCTCTGCGCCCGCCACTCCTCGATGATCTCCTTCACCGGGATCTTTGTGGGGTCCTTCCACTCGGCGCCGAGCGAGCAGATGGTCATGAGCAACCGCAGCAGAACCTTTTTGGCATCGACGAGCGCCGCGCCGTCTTGAGGTTGTTCATCAGCGCAAAGCCGCGCTCGCACGCCTGACGATGCTTCCGCAGTGCGCTGTTCAGCTGCGACTTGCCGCAGTTCTCATACAGCTCTTCAAGTTCAACCCAGCGCGTGTCGGATAGCCATCGTCATGCCGGTCCTCTCTGAACTTGCCGCGCGTGAGGTAGCAAAGCTTTGTCGGCAGCAGCCAGCTTATTGCGCCGCATATTTGCAATGAGCTGCTCGGGATCGCAGAAGCGCATGCCGAGCACTGCCTCGATCTTCAAGATGAACGTTGGCACAGCCGCGTCGTCCGCACCGCAAGCCGTGCCTGGCGCAGCGCCGCGGCCGTCCTCTGGCACTTGCAGCGGCAGCACATGGTGCGGTGCGCATACTTGAGCAGGCGGGTCGCGCCGCAGTTGGCACAGGGGCCCTGGGTGTAGGGCGAGCGCGGCATCGACGTCGCACCCGGGTATTTCTCGGGTATACCTGGACTTTTGCAGGTATACCCGGGTTTTACCCGGGGTTGCCCCGAGTCGGGTGGTAAATCTTACCACCGTTTGATTGTTTTGGCCGGAGAGTGTTTGATTGTTCTGGGGGGCTATACCGGTAAATGGCAAGCACTGCGCTGCGGTCATCACACACTACACACACATCAGCGCCTCACCTCGACTTTTTTTTTTCGTTTTCGCTTAAAAAAAAACCTTGGTCCTTGGACCTTGCGCCAGTGCGCAGTGGCCACAGTGGCAGTGGCCAGTGCGATCCCCCCCCCCCCCCCCGCCCTGCCGCCAAGATCGTATACATTGCAATAATCGCTCTGGGGGGGCGCGGGGGCCCTAGAGGGTATCCATGCGGGGGGGCGATCGGGTCCCATGGCTCGCCGCAGGCGCCGATTTTTTGACATTTTTCCCTTTTTTTGCGCGATTTTTTGCTTGTGTTGTCATGGGAATTCGGCGTACTTGCGGCCATGCTATCACGCCTTGGCCCTTGCGACAGCCTGTCGGCGCTGCTGACCGTGCCATGCTGCACAATTGATCACCCGCATAGGCCATAGCTCGCGGCCTTAGTATCCAGCATTCAGTGACGACCTGATCGTATGGCCAGTAGGAAGGCGTCCTTCAAGCTGCGTGCACGCTTCTGACGCAATGCGCGTCACCGAAACTGCCTCGGATTGGCTGCTGGCACTCTCGAGGCTATGCCTACACAGGTCAGCCTCGCGCGCATGGGCAGTCAAGAGGGACCACGCACCTTCTCAGGACAGCACCAGTGCCTCTCTCTTGGACCGGCAAACGTGGTGGTCTCGTGTTACCAATGTGGGACCAGTGCGGCATCGCGCCATCGTGCATCGACAGCTCTGAACTGCGCCTCACCACTGACTGGGAAGGCCGCCAAGTGGGTCAGCACCGGTCGCATATTGTGGCAGCAGTCAGCAGTGCATGTCTGATAGCTAGAGCAGCAGCGTCAGGTTCTCGCAGGGTCGGATCGTGTCAAGCCTCTCGCCCGGCCGGCCGCGTGCAGACGTCGGCCCCTGTCTGCTGTCTGGAGTGATCTGTCGGCGGTCAGTACGACCGATCAGGTCGGAGTTTTCTGATGGTTGGAGGGTCTATCTGTATGTACTCCTCGAGATCTCTCCAAATCTGCCCTCTGTTAGACCGGGTTAGATCGGGAAGTCGGTGCTAGCTGAGACTAGCGGAGCCGGGGCCCCGTTTCCGCACTGCTGCGCGGCGCACGGTGCCTCCGGGGGCCCCGCGCCCCCCCGAGCTCCAATGTCGCCCCCCCAGAGAATAATGAGGCGGAGGCGCGAGTCGGAAGGCCGCGACCCCGACCGTTTAAGTGTTCCCGACACTTTCCTAGAATCGCTGTGGACCCAGCCACGACCCACGTAGGGCAGCAGCTGGTTCGACAAGTCCTCTCTCTCCGTGGCCTAGGCAGCCGGTGCCACCCCAGGTGAATACAGCGTTTTCGGCGGTGAGGGCGAGGCTGTGGTTTCCAGCCGACACAGTGACCGCGCTGGCCAGCGAAGGGCTCGACCTTCTTCGGCAGCATCTGGCTCTGTCTGCTCGTTGCCGTGGCCTAGTCGGCCGTGGAGACCAAAGCCCCAGCTCCAGACGCTGCCGTCGGTGGTGATAGCGAGGCCGTGCCTGCTTCCCGCCGACACGGCGACAACGTGCTGGCCAGCCATGGCCTCGACCTTCTTCGGCAGCAGCTCCTGCTGCTCGTCGCCGTGGCCTAAGGCCTAAGAGCTAAGTGGCCGCTCCTCCCACCGCCCCAGCTCCAGACGGCACCGTCTGCGGTAGTGGCGAGGCTGTGGCTGGCTGCTGCCGAGAAAGCGACGACGCGCCGCCCAGCAAAGGCCTCAACCTTCTTGGGCAGCAGCTGCCACTGCCAGTCGCCGTGGCCCAACCGGCCGAAGGCTCCACAGCCTCCCCAGCTCTAGACGGCGCGGTCGGCGGTGATGGCGATGCTGCGGTCGCGTCCCGCCGCCACAGCGACGACGCGCCGCCCAGCAAAGGCCTCGATGTTCGTTGGCAGCAGCTGCTCCTGCTGGTCGCCGTGGCCCAAACGGCCGCTCCCTCCAAAGTTTGGAACCAAAGCCCCAGCTCCAGACGGCTCCGACCCCGGTGAGGGCGAGGCTGTGCGTGGCGCCCGTAGACACAGTCACGGTGCGCTCACCCAGCAACGGGAGTCGGGTCGGCGTTGTCAGTCGCGACACGCCCTCACCGTGACCGAGGAGCCCTGGTGGTTTACCAAATCGACCGCTCTGAGCCGCACGACGAGAGCCGCCCCTCGCCGTCGAGAGAGAAATCACTGTGAGAGTCGTGATTTCTTGCCGTCGATGTCGGTGCAACGGAAGGGGGGCAAGGCGAAAAACAAAAAGGAAGCAAGGCGAAAATCAAGGCTGTCAGCGGGGAAAAGCGAGACGAGGTCTGACCGCGCTTCGAACGGATCTGCCAGGCGGCCAAGGCTGGAAAAAATTAAAAAGGTCTGACCGCGATTCGAACGCGGGATCTGCCGATCTGCGGTCGGCCGCCTTACCGCTTGGCCACCAGACCGTTTTCATGCGTGGTGCCGAGGCGAGCGCGATCTGGTCGTTCATAAAGGGTAAAAATATGGTTTTTTTGGTATAATTAATTTTTTGGAGGGATATTTGTGGGTTGATGTTTATTTTGATGTTTAGATATTAATATAAAAAAGGAAATTGTTTTTGTATGTGTGTGAGATGTGTGTGAAGAGGAGTGAGGGGGAGGGGGGATATGACTTATGTTGGGTGGGGGTTGAAGTGTGGCGGGTCGGGTCGTTTCGGGTGGATTGTATATGTGGTAAATCTGGACCGCCGACGAGGCGGGCACGTCGCGAGCGGGGACGGCCACACGCGTCGCCTCCCCCAGCGGCCGGAACTCTCCACTCGCACGAAGAGGCGAGGTTGCGAGGTTGGTGCTTCCTCGATGTGCGCACGCGAACGGCGAAGCTCCGCTGGCGCTGCGCGTCTGGGGTCAGGCTAAGGTGAGCTGAGGTGCTCGTCGGTCATCGCCCTCTTGTAGCCCGGTCGAACACCCCGGGTCGCGATTTTGGGAAGTGAATACGGGGGCTTTTTTACGATGAAATAAGAATCTAATGCCCGAGAGAAGCACATAGACACCCACATGGTTGACCAACCCTTACTAGGTGAGCGTCAGTGTTCACATTCACACCCAACAGACCGGCTCCAGCACACACAGTACGAGCGTCTCAGCGCACACAGCGGCATCCTCCGCGCCTAGGCCTCCATAGCGTCCTTGCCCTCGCCCTCCTCGCCCTCCTCGTCGTCCTCGTCGTCCTCCTCCTCCTCCGCCTCGAGCGCCGCCTCGTAGTCAGCGACAAAGTCGACCTCCCCGCACGGCACCTGGTCCTCCTCCTCCCATGTCGCGATCTCCGGGGGCCAGCCCTCCCACAGCACCTTGTAGAGCACCGTCCCCGCCGCGATCTCCTCCCCCTCCCGCCCCGGCACGTCCCCGCCGTCGGCAACCATCTTGCCAATCAGCCGGCTGATGACGAACTCGTCCGTCGGGTCCCACCCCCAGTCGTTGAGGTAGACCCAGCCGCGCTTCCGCTTCGCCTTCTTCTTCTTGGCCCCGCCGCCGCCGACCGTCTCGCGGCACCCCTTGCGGCGCAGCCCGTCCGACTCGCGCCCGTCGGTCCCCGCGTCACCCTCCGCGAGGTCATTGCAGCCGAGCCCGAACTTTTCGAAGATCAGCGACTGCAGCTGCGTCCGCATCTCCGGCCCCGTGCCTACCAGGACAGAGCGCCGGTGACAATCTCAACTACGACTACGGAGCAACCCAAGCGGCGGCGCCTGTCGTCTTGAAGCCGGTCTTCTTCTCAATCAGCTTGTAGAACTTGAGCTGCTCAGCCAGCCTCTCGTTGCCCATCTTCTTGAGCTCCGAGTACTTGCACGCGAGCGAGATGCCCTACAAGCACGCGCGGTGCGGTGAGCAGGCGCGAGAGGGCTGCGGCGCGGGGCGGGGCGGCAAGCCTTGAGCCGCTCCAGCTCCTCCGCCTTCTTCTTTCGGGAACCGCGCAAGACCTCGAGCTGGTCCTCGAGCGCCGCGATCGCGCCCTGCAGCGCGGCGGCGGCCTCGCACGCCTCGTCGGCGCGGGCCTCCGCCTCGCTCGCGCGCCGCCTCTCCTCGTCTACCATCGAGTCGGCGTACGCCTTGATCTCCTTCCGGTGCCGCCCGAGCCGCAGCTCGTGATCGATCTCCGCAGCCCGCGCCGCCGCCGCCGCCTCCCTGCGCACCTTTGCGACCTCGCGCTCGCGCGCGGCCTCCTGCTTGGCGCGGAGCTCGTCCGCCGCCTTCTCGGCCCGCTCGCGCTCGGCCGCGACTGCCTGCTGCACGGCCGCCGCCGCGGCCGCCGCCGCGCGGCGGTCGCGGTGGCCGAGGTCCGTGACGGCGCGCGAGAGGAGGCTGCGTTGGTACTCGATCTCGCGCTGCTGCCGCGCCGCGAGCCGCCGCAGCTTGACGACCTCCGACGGCGGCGGCGGGCGCTTCCCGCGCACCGCCGCGGCGATGAGTCCGAGCGCATCCATGTCGAGCAGCCGCACGGCGCTCGAGGCGCCGAGCCGCTCGTGCGTCCCCATCGCAAAGGCGAGGAGCTTGAGGTCGGCGGGGATCTCTGCTGCTGCGGCGGCGGCGCCGCCGCCGCCGCCGCCGCCCGCGTCGGCCGCGGTCGAGGTCATCGTGGGGAAGGCGAAGCGCGACGCCGACTCGAGCTCGAGCAAGCGCATCGCCCGCTCGGCCTCGGCGAGGGTGTTGCCGTTGCGCTTGGACGCTGAGCGGAGGCGCGAGCGGACCTCCTCGCGGCGCCTGTTGTAGCGAGCGACGCTGCGCTCGCAGCGCAGCCAGAGCGCACTCACCGCGGAGCTGGGTGACGTGGGCAAGGACATCGGCCCGCTAGCGCTCGCCGCCTCGCAGGCAGCCACCCAGCGGGCAAAGATCAGGGTCTTATTGTCGAGCCCGCCCGTCGCCTTCGCCATCTTAGCCGCCAAGTTGAGGAGGTAGGCGACGTGCGAGAGAGGGTGAGGCCGCCCTCAGGGCAAGCCACGGCCAGCGCCACGGCGCTCGGCTCATCCTTGGTCGCCAGGGAGGCCAGGGCAGCAGCCACAGCCTCAGAAGAAAAGTGCGCCGCCGGGCGCACTTTCTCGCGCGGGTCATTCTCGGTGTTGTCGGGGTCGTGCGAAGCTACGGCCTGCGAACGGCCGGTGGGCAGACGTCATGGCCGGCATGTACGACCCTTAAGAACCCGCGTACGACCAGAAGGTCGGCTGTGAGGCGAGGCTGAAGGCAGCCCAAAAACTGGTGGATTTGTGTTGCTGACAGTTGTGGGCGATCCCGCGCGCGAACTGACGGCAGGTAAGCCGGCAGGTGGGGGGGCGGGGGTGTGCCGGATGGATCCCCAAGCGGGCGAGCCGGGCCCGTGCATAGTTCGCGCTCGGGGGGCGCGCGAGCATGGGAAAGACGCACCTCCATCGTCCTTGCTTACCGGCGCTTTTCGGCCGTTGGCACCATCGTTGATGACGAGATTGCGCGGGACCGAAATCCCAAAACCTCTCAGCTCGAAGGGGGAATTTATTTGTTTGGGGGGTGTTCGACCGGGCTACGCTCTTGGTGCCGCGTTTTCCTTCTAGCTTCTTCTAGTGGCACGGTGGTCGTGCTTTTTCAACAATGCAAGGTGAAATATGACTCTATGACTGTATACACAGTGTACACACATATGCGTAGTAGTTGCGCAGCTCTTCAGCTAAGACTTGTACACGAACAGCGCCTTCCCCGGCTCTCCGCTCGTTCACCGCCGGGGCGGGCGCCTGGCGGCGCCGCTGCGGCTCGACCGTCGAGGTCGGCTCACAGCTCACAAGCGCTCGAGCGCCTCCTCCACTGCGGCCACCGTCGCCGTCTCGCCAAAGTAGAGCCCAACGGCGGCGGCCGCATGTCCAGGCGCCGTCTGCGGGCCCGAGAGCAATTCCACCGCCTTCTCGTGCCAGTCGGGCTTGAAGGCGCCCGCGGCGTCCTCGACGAGACAGACGCGGAAGAAACGGTCGCACGCCTGCACCGCCGTCGCGAAAACGCACACGTTGGTGAGGATGCCGGCGAGGAGAACCTTGCGCACGCCGCGCGCGCGCAGCTGCGCCTCGAGGTCGGTCGACGCGAAAGCGCCAAAGGTCCACTTGTCGACGACAACCTCGCCCGGCAGCGCGCGCAGCGACGGCAGCAAGTCGTAGCCGACGTCGACCGCGCCAAAATGCTGCGGCGCCCCGTCCGCGTCGTCGCCGAGGGCGGGCGCGCCAGGCTGCGGGCCGCGCAGCAAGTCGGCCCGCACGTCGGCACCGTATCGGTGCGAGCGCGAGTGCGCGATCGTGAGACCTGCCTTTCGCGCCGCCGCCAGCAGCCTCTCCACCTGTGCCGTCGCCTTGGCGAGGGCAGCGTGGCGGCTCGCGTCGTAGTGGCGGCCGAGCCGACCGGCGCGGTGAAGAAAGTCGACCTGCATGTCGATCAGGAGCAGCGCCGTGTCGGCGCGACTCACGCCAAAAGCGCGGTGGCCGACGCCGCGAGAGCAGCGCACCTGCGCCTCGCCGTCGAGCGTCGTCCCCGCCGCCAGCGCCGCGCTGATCGCCGCCTCTGCGACCGAGCGGCGCTTCATGGCACGAGCCTCGCGCACCGCGTCTGTGCGTGCCCACAGCTCGCGAAGCAGCCATCCGGCACCAAACGCGACGAGGAGCTGCCTGCTGCTGGCCGCAAGGGAGGATGAGCGCAGCGTCGCCGCTGCCGCTAGCCCACCGATCAGCCCACCGAGCGCGCCGCCCGCCCGCCCCGCCCGCCCGATGGATACTGCGGCCGCTGCCGCCGCGCTCGCCGCGGCGGCGAGGGCTGCCGCCGTCTCCTTCTCGCGAGGCGACGTCTTCTTATAGGGAGGAGGAGGTGCGACGGCCACGAGGCTGGCCAACTCCGCTCCAAAGGCACCGCCGCCATAGCCCGCCGCCGCCGCGTAGCGCGCGAGCTGGTCGGCGTCCCACAGCGCGGCGAGCCGCGGCCGCCACGGCTCGCCTGCCGCCGCAGCGCCAGCCGCCGTGAGTGGACCACTGGCGTAGAGCTCGCGCGCGGCGCGGCAGGCGGCGGCGTCGAGGGCCGTGGCCTCCGCCGTGCGCAGCGCCGCCTCCGCGATGCCGCCCGTCCTCGCCTCGCTCAGCGCCACGCCTGCAAAGGCGGCGAGTCCCTCGGGGAAGCTCGTCATCGAAGGCTCCCCGGGCAGCGCCGCCGGCAGCGGCACAAAGCTCGGCGCCATGTAGGTGCTGAGGACCGTGCAGATCGACACCTCCGACGGCGGCGGGGCGGACGCGTCGAGCTCGCGCGCCGCGGCGTGCAGCAGCGCGACCACGGCGTGCGAGGTGCGCGCGGCGCGCAGGTCGAGTCGCACAGCGTCGGGCGCGATGGCGAGGTAGCGCGGCTCGCCGAGCAGGGCCTTGAGCACCACCGACTCGTGCACGAGGTAGACGGCGTACAGGTTGGCGTGCGCCATGTTTCCCGTCACAACGTTGGCCGGGTTGACGCGCGCCGGGCTCGCACCTGCATGCTCGCGCGCTCCCTCTTCCTTGATGTCGAGAAAAGCACGCACGCCGCGCACGACGGCGGAGCCCACGAGCAGCGCGGCGCAGCCGGGCGCGTCGAGGTTGGCGCGCAGCTCGAAGCCGTCCTGCAGAGTGCCCGACACAGCGAGCAGCGTGCGTCGGCCCGATGCCGCCGCCGCCGTGGTGGCGGCGGTGGTGACAGGAGGAAGAGGAGCCGCCGCCGGCGGAGGCGGCGGAGGCGCCGTGTAGCCATGGAGGGCGGCGATCACATCGGCCGAGGGCGCTGCCCAGCCGACGATGCCGCCCTGCGCGACGATCATCTCGAGCGCCGCGCGCTTCAGCTGGGGGAAGTAGCTCTCCGTCGCGTCGGCCACCACGAGGCATTCGTAGCCGCGATCGTTGGCCTCTCGCATGCTCGTCTGCACGCAAACCTACGGTCGGTCGTTTGCCGCCGTGTGTGGCCGTGGTGTGCTGCGCAGCTCCCGGGCACTTTCACACCTCGGTCGTCACGCCCGTCAGGAGCAGGTGCGTGACGCCGAGGCGCTGCAGCTCGTCGTGCAGCCGTGTGTTGAAGAAGGCGCCCTTGCCCGGCTTGTGCACGATCAGCTCGCCGGCGACGGGAGCCACCTCGTCGACGATCGCGTTGCCCGGCTCGCCGGCGACGAGAACGCGGCCGCGGGCAGCGTCGAGGACGGTGCCGATGGCGGGGCAGCGAGTGAGCTTTGCCGGCGGGCAGTCGGCGAGATCGGCGGTGTGCGCCTCGAGCGTGTGCACCACGGTGACGCCCGCGGCACGCGCGGCCGCGAGTACGGCGGCAGCGGGCTTGAGCGCAGTGCGCAGCGGAGCCACGTCGTTGCCGAGGCAGTGGCCGAAGCCGCCCTCGTCGAGAAAGTCGCGCTGCCAGTCAATCATGAGGAGCGCGACGCGGCCAGTAGACGGCATCGCGAAGGAGAAGGGTTCCGCGTCGTCGATTGCGAGAGCCATGCCGACCATACACGAAGTCGCCCATGCACCTCCGGCCCGCCCGTCTGGCAGGGCAGCCGCCTTCCGTTCCCCTCGGAAGGGGCGGGAAGTACTCGCAGAATGTGGGTAAACGAAAGTAGCGTATACGCTACTATGAAAAAAGAAGCCGAAAACTCACGCTGGGGTCAGTCCGCCCGAGCCAGCCAGCTGCCGGCTCGTACGGCAGCCTCTTCCTCTCGACCAGCCTCAACTTCCGTACAGTCAGCATTTTGTCGCTGCGTGCTCGTGGCGAGCTGTGGCGGCGGTCGAAGTTCGCCCAGATTCGGTGACGAGCGCCAGACGATAGTAGTGTCTCTGTTCGCCCTGTGCATGTCAGGCCAGGCTGCAGCAGGGCACTACCATCGTGCTGCCCTGTTGCAGCCTGACCCTGCCCACTGTGCACAGTCGCCAGAGCACCACCACCGCCCGGCATCGTGTCACGGCGAGCTCCTTCTGCGCCCGCTCGCGAGGCTCTCGCGCTGGCACACTTTGGCCATCTGCTGCTCGCGTTCGGCGAGCTCATCTCCGCACTCCTGCCACGGTGCCGTCACCACACACCTTCTGGCTGGCCTGAGCCGCGCGGGGTCGCCAGCGGGGGCAACGCGTCGACCTCTCTCTCTGGTGCACCACGGGCCGCAACGGCCTGCTAGCCGCGTGCGCGAGGAGGCAGTGTGCCGGCACAGTCGAGCCGGAGCATCGGGTTCTGGATGCTTGTGGGGTCAAGTCTGACCTTATGCGGCCTAATATGCAATAATAATGCTATGCTCTCACCCAGTCTTTTGAGATATTATCCCTCAAAGTCGAATTTTCGTTTACTGGTGACCATAGTAGTGTCTGTCCTGTTTGCGAGATCTTCAAACGAAACACTTTAAGTCTCGACAATCACTAAGCTGCTTATGTGGCACCGCAGAGGCTCCCTTGGGGATGCCTGAGGCCACCCCAACCACACACTAAGCCGTACGTAGACGAATTGGGCGCTACTTTTTTCGTTTACCCACATTATGCGAGTATAAAGCCTGTTCACCTACAGTGTGGGCACACCGTGCGCCCGACGGGGACATCCAAGCGCAGGCCCCGCACGCGGCCCTGCTGCCCTCCCGTCGGCTGAAATCGACCAGGCCCATCGCCGTGGACCCACCGGCGACTGCGGCGGCCCTAGCACCGGCCGATTGTTTGAGCGATGGCCTGTGCTGCGGCCATCTCGGACGTTTAAGCGGCGCCAGCCAGCGGCTCGGCCGCGCATCCTTCACACACGCCGCCACGACCGGGACGAGCGGCCCCGGTGTCGAGCCATGGTGTGAGCTGCATGTGCGCGGCGGCCGTGGCGACAGCAGGTCCACCAGACGGACCTCAAAGCTTGCCGTCGGCGTGCTGTCGTGGCGAGAGCGCGAGACAGCTGCAGAGGAGCCGAGTGCAGTGGCGAGCCAGAAGCTACCTGGGTCACCAAGTGGTAGCCCTTGCCCATTCTGACCAGGGCTGTGCTTTGGTGGGGTTGTGCTTGAGCGTGTGTGAAGTGGGAGTGCGTGCCGGCGGTGTCTGTGGGTGAAACGGGCGTGTGTGAGGCCGTAAGAGCCGTGGTATGAGCCAGAGTGGGCTTCATCACCCAAGATAAGGGCGGTTTGGGACAGCTCAGACTTGATACTGATGGGCCTGGGCCAGGAGAGCGACAGAGAAGGCGAGGTGGTGAGCTGGGAAGCCGCTTCGTCGGCACCTGGACGTGTCGTGATGAACTGCCGAAAAGTACTATTTGCGGCTATTGCTCAAAACTTCGGGAGAGAAGGCCTACATATTATGACTGCACCCATGCGCCCGGTGCATGAGAGCTGCGGGGCGGGACATATCACGGTCGGTGGCGCCGATAATGACCTCCGGAATGCCCTCGCAACCGCCTCAGATGGGGCCCTGGTCCTCGCAAGCGGCGATGGCGAGTGTGTCGAGCGCGTCGGATACCGGGTCGTACGAATTCCACCCGAGCGCTCGGTCTTCAAAGCTGCCGCAGCCTGCGTACGTGAAGCCCGCTACGCACACGGGCGCCACGATTGTCGGCTTGAGCCGGAAGCTGCCCCACGACGCCTCGTCGAAAAAGGTATTGGCAAACTCGACGGCCGCCTGCAAGTAGTTGATGATGCCACCATACGTATCGACGAGGCCGCCTGCAAAGACCGCTGCCCCGTCGTCGCCGCACTGGTCCTCCGGCACGGCGGGGATGATTAGGATCTCCTTCTCGCCCAGCGTGTAGTCGCCCGCCCCACGCGTGCCTCTGGCCCGTTGCCCGTTGGAGATCGCGCCGTGGGAAAGCATCACAAAGTTTCCGTCGAGAGTGAACCCGGTCACCTTGATCGCACTGGTGGTCAGAAGCGCCCACTCGTCCGAGGCATGAATGGGCATCACCTCCGGGTCACCTCCCGGATCGCGCAGCCGCAGGTGAGGACCTACCCACGGGCCGTCCGCGAGGACCAGCATGTCTGCCAGCCCCTGGTAGGGACTATCCGCGAGACATGCTGCTGGAAGGCTGCTTGGCGACGAATGGTCGAGCGAGGTGCTCATGTCATAAGCCTCACCGAAGCGGCGTGCGGCGACGTGCTCCCGCAACGTCTTCAACCGACTTTCGCACCATGTCGTGCTGGCCGGCTGGGTCACAGCAAAGCAGCAGGCTGTGGCCAGAAATAGCACTCGGGGGTGCATAGTTGCACTTCCCCGATACGCCGACGACAGGCCCTCGTCCTCCACGGGCGACGGCCGTCCTGCACAGCTTATTCGGGCGCGCGCATATCCGTCCTATTGCAATATTAAGATGGAACGTTGTGCAATTTTCTTTTTTTGCAAAAGAAAAAACGCTTGGATGCAACCGCCAACAGTAGTCCGACAATGCACTTTGTCCGCGCCGCGCCGATGAATAAATAAATAAAAACGGAACCCTCTCTACTGAGATCTGAGTACTGTCAGTCCGTACTGTGAGATGGGCGTTTAACCGATCTTTCTTTTTTCAAGTTTAATTCATTTTGGGCTTCTCAGAAACACCCGTTCGCATCGGCTTATTATCAATGAGAATGCGTGCGTGTGCCGCGCACGCGTGGGTGTAGGGGCGCTTATCGCGCTGTGGAAGCACACAGACGCCCAACCAATGCGCGAGACTCTGTACATCGCGTGTATAGCGCGTCGCCTCGGCGAGAGAGAGAGAGAGAGAGAGAGAGAGAGAGAGAGAGAGAGAGAGAGAGAGAGAGAGAGAGAGAGAGAGAGAGAGAGAGAGAGAGAGAGAGAGAGAGAGAAGAGAGAGAGAGAGAGAGAGAGTAGGGAGCAGGGAGGGGCTGAGCGCCGCCCGGTACATGCAGTCATGGCGTCCTCATGGGTGGGGGTGGGTGGGGGTGGGGGGGGCTGCTCCTCCTACTTGGAGCCGCGCACAAAGGAGAGGTATGCCGTCCACACGAAAGAGACCACGTGCCTGCGGCAAAGACACGAGCGGCCGAGGGGCCGAGTGAGTGATATGCGGCGGCCTGCCGTCTGTGGGTACGGGGGCGGCGAGTGCGGTGTGCGGCGCCCGGGTGGGCTCCGGCTCGAGGGCTAGGGGTGTGTGGACTGCCCACCCAGGACTGCATCTAGGACTGCATCTAGGACTGCATCTAGCACGCCCGAGCCTCACCGGCAGCCGCAGCCACATCGGCACCTATTCACACACAACAGAGGCGATGAGAGAGGAGGGCGGGAGTCCTCCGCCGCACGCCGCCGGGGCATGCCGCGGCCGAGCGGGGCGAGGAAGAGGAGAATGCGAGACCCGGCTCCTCATGGCCCATCTCCGCTCCATCTCGGCTCATCTCCGCTCCATCTCGGCTCATCTCCGCTCCATCTCGGCTAGAGATGCGGCGCCGAGAAGCAGACGAGGTCGGCCGGGCCCCACACCATCACCACGTCCGACACGTCCTTCCTCAGGTTGGCCGAGTACCTAAATTCCTCTCGTCACCTCTCGTCACCTCTCGGCTCCTCTCGCCTCCTCTCGCCTCCTCTCGGCTCCTCTCGGCTGCTCTTGGCTCCTCTCATCTCCTCTCTGCTCCTCACTGCCCCTCTCCGCTCCTCTCCGCTCCTCTCAGCTCCTCTCACCCGCGCAGCCCGTCCGAGAGCCAGAGAGGCGGGTCGAGCTGGCCGGAAAAGACGCCCGCCTGGCGAAGGGACGGCCGATCTCGTCCGATCTCGTTCCGGTCTGGGGCGATCTGGCTATCTCGGTCGCTGCGCCTTGAAGACGTAAAACGTCGGCAGGTAGACGCAGCTGAGCACCTGGGAGGAGGAGGAGGCGGCGGGCGGGGCGGTGGGGAATGGGACTGAGGCTGTGCAACCGTCGAGACACGAGCAATAGACCGATGTGACGTGTTGTCTGCGTCTAGTTTCGGGTCACCGAGAGGTCGATGGCGGTCTGGCCGGCGAGGCCGAGCAAGCCGGGCCGGTCGGTCAGCTTGGCCACCTGAGGGCGGCGGCGGAGGAGCAGGTGGAGGGTGAGTGCGTTCGGCGGCGGCGGAGGAGGAGGACGGTGAGTGCCGGAGCACGAGGAGGCCGCGACAGGGAGAGCGCACCAGGGAGAGGTTGCAAAAGCGCTCGGCGTTGGAGAAGAGGCGCTTGAAGATGTTGACCTGGCGAGGGCAGGGACGGCCGCGCCGGGCGTCGGACCGGGCTCGCGCTGCGCCGCCTCGCCGGCGCACGCCTCGCGCACCTGGTACCAGTACTGAAAGGCGCCGAGATATACGGCGCCAAAGAGGCAAAACACCATGTTCCTTCTCCAGTCGACCTCGGAGAGGGGCTTCCGCTCGATGGCGCACTGGGCCACCAGGTCCGCCGCCGACGTCTTGCAGGTCGCGATCAGCACGTTGTTGGCGAAGGGGTACGCCTTGGCAAAGCCGACATAGCTGAAGCCGGCGGCCGGCGGCGTCGGCGTCGGCGCGGCAATCGGCGTGGCGGGCTTGGCGGCCGTGGAAAGAAGGCGGCCCGGGCGAGGACGGCAGCAGGCGAGGCTGCTGTGGCTGCTGCGAGCGCGCGAGAGCAGGCGGGTCGGTCGGCAGGACAGCATCCAGCAAAATTTTCTACTCCGCCCCCCTACTCAGTAAAAAGAATTTCCTGGCGGTATCTTAGAATCCCACATCGAGTCCCAAATCGAGTCCCAAAGGTACGAATGTCACCACACTCTGCTGTCTCGGGCCGTCGCGACCCGCGCGCGCTCGCAGTCTCGCACTCTCTCTCGCTGCTCGCGGCTCGCTCTGAGCTGCTCAATCTCGTGCGCGTGCGGTCGTCTCCGACGCTGGGCTCTAGCACCCCTCGGACCACCCGGGTGCTTCTGCCACGGGGGCGAGGGGTAGGAGACTGTGCCGGCATCGGCGCACTCACGACACGGCTCGATAGCCGCGCTGCAGCTGCCGCAGCATCAACCCTTTCGCCTTCCCCAAGCCCACCGCGTGCCGGTCGCCAGTCCAAATGTCGCCGAACATCGTGAACTTGCCCGGCGAGAATCTGTAGTGCGCCGGCAGCGAGGGCGGCGTCACGACCACCGCGCCCGGCGCCGGCGCCGGCGCCGTGGCCGCCACCGTGGCCGCCACCGCCGCCGTGACCGCCACCTCCGCCGCCTCCGCCGCCTCGATCTCCTCCGCGTCCATCTCCTCCTGCAGCAGCAGCGCCTCCTCCTCCTCCTTGCACGGCTCCTGCTCCCCCACCGAGATGCGGCCGTTGCGCGTGATGAGCTTGCCGTCGCGCGTGAGCATCACCTACACCAAAAAAGGGGGGGGATGCGTGACGGCCCCGTCGCGTGGGGGGCGAGCGCGTCGTCGCGGCACCTCGATGTAGCACGACGAGATCACACCCGCGCGACGGTTCTTGTGCACGTCCCCCTCGGCGGAGCGGCAGACAGCGAGCGCACAGTAGGCGAGGCCGCCCTCGATCGACGCGAGCATCTCCTCGAGCGCGACCGTGTGGCGGCAGCGCTCGAGTCGAGCCGCCTCGCGCATGTCGGCGCGCAGCTTGGCCGCCAGCTCGGGCTGCTCAGCCTCCACGGCGGCGCGCACCGCCTCGCCCTCGCGGACCTTCTGGGTGAGCGGGCGCAGCATGCTGCTCGACGAGAGCGGCGGCACAGCGCGGACGAGCGAGAGCTGGTCGAGTGGCTGGCGGCTCACTGCGAGGCGGACAACGGCGCGCCCCGTGTACCGCGTGCCGTCCAGGCAGCCGAACTTTTGGTTGCCCAGTAGATGCCGCCAGACGGTGCAGTCCACGCCGTTGAAGGTGTCCATCTGCAGCAGCCGCGTCACGTGGCCCTCCTCGAGGTTGGCCTGCAGGGGACAAGCGGGTGATACGAATTTGAGGCGGGAGAGCAGAGGCGGCGCGCCGGCGCGCCTCGAAGGCGGTCTCGAACTCGCCGAGCGGGACGTCCATGAAGAGTTTGGACATCTGCTGCCGGTCCACGTTGAGGCCGCTGGGAGCGACCCACGTCGGGTTCTGCTGCGCCACCATCCAGCGCTGGCTCTCGTCGTTTGAGAAACCGTCGGGCGGCGTGCCGATCATCTCGACGACCTGGCGGCCGTTGATGACGAGCGGCGGGTCGAACGGTCGCTCCGTCGGCCGCGCGCGGGGCTTCCCCGCCACGTACACGTACACCGCGCGCCTATTGCACCAGAAAAAGATTGACGTGCCCTTCCCTCGCGGTACACGGGCCGAGGAGGGGGAGCCGCGCCCGAGCTCGAGGAAGTGGCGGGCGACGTCAAAGTTCTGCGACTGGCGCGCCTCGACGCGCGCGCACAGCTCAACGACCTGGGCGGGGAAGCAAGGGCTTACCAGGACAAGCGTGGGGGGGGACAAGCGCGGCGCGGGGCGCACACGTCGATGCTCTCGCCGCGCGCGGCCAGGTTCGCGACGTCTCGCTCGACCAAAAACGCCGAGAGCGCGGCCGAGCGCCGCCGGGCGTAGTCGATCTGCTCTTGGCTCGCCTCCACCGCCAGCTGGCCCAGTTCTCGCGCCGCCGCGACCTTGTGTGCGGAGAAGAAGACGTGCGGCATCACCTTGTAGGCCTGGCCCGCCGCCTCCGCCGCCGCGATCGACCGTTCTCTCGAGAGCTGCCGCGGCATCACCTTGAAGGCCTGGCCCTCCGCCTCCGCCGCCGCGATCGACCCTTCTCTCGAGAGCTTGTGCGGCATCACCTTGTAGGCCTGGCCCGCCGCCTCCGCCGCCGCGATCGAGGCTTCTCTCGAGAGGTGCCGCAGTCTCACCTTGAAGGCCTCGCCCGCCGCCTCCGCCGCCGCGATCGAGGCTTCACTCGAGAGCTGCCGCGGCCCGGGTGTGGCCGAGACGCGAACGCTGGGCCGCCCAGCGCCGCCTGTCGGCCCCTCCATCGGCGCCGCCTCCCACTCGGCGAGGCGCTGCTGCCTGCGAGAGCAGAGGCAGGGGGTGAGCACAGAGAGGGTGGGAGGGTGTCTCGATCCGCGTCCCCCGAAAGAGTCTCCACTCAGTCGGTTACCCCGCCCCATCGTGCCAGGGGGCGGCGGCGGGACGCGTGGGATCGCCCCCGCGACAGAGTGTGCTAACCCTTCGCCCTGGCTTGCCGCTGCCCCGGCGGCGGTCCTCTCCGATGCGGCATGCACGCTCATGGCGAAGCAGAGGCTCGCGGTGGATACAAACGGATTGCGCGCCGCCAGGGCCCCCGTTAGGCGTGCATACGCTTCGGGCGAGGGGAGCGGTGCAGGGATTGCGACACCGGCAGCGGAGAGCGTCGCCTCGACGTCGTCGGCCAGCGAGAGCCCAGCGCCCTGCAGCGCGCTGAAGACATCGACCATCAGCCCGCGGTCGTTGAGCCAGCGCCTGATTTGCTTAGGGTACAGCGTGCGGCCGGCCGTCGAGAACTTGTCGCACGTCGGCATGATCCGTCTGCTCTTGTGCAGCTGCAGGGCGTGCGCTATGACCAGCCGCTTGAAGGCCTCGGAGTAGTCTGCCGTCGCGCTGCGAGACCGCGATCCCTGCGGCGCCGCCAGCGGCGGAGGGTGAGCCGGAGGAGGGCGAGGCGGAGGAGGGCGAGGCGGGGGGCGAGGCGGAGGGGGGCGAGGTGTTGCGGAGTCAGCCGGAGCCTCCGCCGCTGCCGCGCCCTTCCGAGCCCGCTTCCTCGCGCCGCCGCCGCCGCCGCCGCCGCCGCCGCCGCCGCCGCCGCCGCCGCCGACGCAGGGGAGGTGCGCCACATCCTTGTCCTCGGATTGCAGAGAGTTCAGAAAGTCGCACGCCTTCTGGGCGGCCTCGCGCTTCGGCCGCGGCATGAAGACTTGTTGCGCTCTCCTTTGCAGCGGGCAGTAAAAGAATTTTACGCTGCACGAAGGGCACAGGACTGGGCACGGGACTGGCGCAAGAATAAACAGTAGGGACTCCTGCCGCCGAGGAGGCCGGCGCGTGGCAGTGCCAGCTCAAGTACTCGTGGGACGAGCCGCGGGACGACTGCTACATCAACATCTGCGACGCCGGCAATTAGGGCCCCGCCGGGCCAGCCTCGCGAGGAAATGAGCAGCCGGAATTTCTTTTTCGTTCCGCCTTGCTCCGGTTGGTGACACACTCACACACACTCCGGTTGGATAACGCGCCGAGGCCCTCAGCGGAGCTGGGAATAGGACCGCCGCAAGCGGCGTGGCGTGGAGCGGTTGAGCCCCCCTCCGGGGGCCCCTGCTGCGCCGGAGGAGCGTTGTTTGTAAAAGGCAACCCTTTTCCCTGGCTCACAACGTCACAAGCTAAAGATGTTCACGGGCCCCCAGGGCCCCAGGGGAGCACCGGGTAATCTTTAGCTGTGTTTAGGCAGGGGTTGTATAATATTACTTTGGGTGGTCAAGCAAAAAACTGTCAGCAGTCCTCCTCCGGGAATGTACGTAAGAGCCACATACATTGAAAAAAACACCCCACAGGTGGTGCCCACAGGGTGTCCCGCAGTGGGTCCGCACGAGCGGTCCACCACGAGCCCGACGGGGACTGTGCCGACTATTGGCTGCTGCCCGGCTTCCCGCCAAACGTTGTATATGCACTTCGCCTTTCTCTCGCTCGCTCTCGCGCCGCCCACCGCTCCGGCCATGTACCGCAAGGGCCTTCGCTTTGGCAGCCGGCCTGTCTTTCGCGAGCTCATATGCGGACAAGGGCTTGTCGAGTCGTCCGGCTCGTCGGTAATGTGTCAGTACGCTCAAGGAGAGCACGTACACTTCTCGGGGAGGCTAGTTTCAGCGCAGCCCGCGGAGGCCAACGGGCCGCTCAGCCCTATGCACGGCGGCATCGCCATCGTCCGGCGTGGAAGTTGCTCGCTCGAGGAGAAGATGCGCAACTGCGTCGCCGCGGGGGCGTCTGGTGTCGTGCTCGTCAACACCGAGGACTCGCGCTTCCTTGCGGCGCCGGGAGAAGGCGTCCCGTTTGTGTGCGTCTCCTCCAGCGATGGCGCGAGCCTCAGGCCGGGAGCCAGCGCGTCCATTTCGCCGCTGCCTCTCGCACACGGCACGCCTCTCTTCCCGCTCACGCAGCCCCTGCTGCCGGGAGCCAGCAGTCCGCTGCAGATCAGCCAAGCGGAGCAGGAATCGCTGCTGGCGCACACCGGCCAGCCCGGCCCATCTGTCGAAGTCGCCACGGTCCTGTGCGATGAGGGCTGCAGGCTGGCCGAGGTGGGCACGGCTGCAACGCTCGACCTGTCAGGCCTCACCGGCGGCGGCGTCGCAACCCTGCGCGGGGTGCGGCCGTGCTACGTACGCAGCTTGCTCAGGGAGGGCACACCCGACGAGGTCGCAATCGCCCTAACGGCGGAGGTCGACCCCGCCGGCGCCGACGATCTCGGCGCCTCGCTCGACGCGCTCTGCGACGCGCTCGAGGTTGGTCGCGAGGAGGACGCGCCGCTCCTTCGGCGGCGAGCCGAGGACGGCGTGCCACTGAGCGTGGCTCGCGACCCGGAGGGGCTATCCTTCGCACTCTGCGACCTCATCGCCCTGTCGGCGCTGCAGGCGCAGGCCGCCCTCGAGCTCTCATCGCCGGAGCGGCTCGCTGCGCTCTCCGCCCAGCTCGCGCGCAACCCGACGCGCGGGCGCGAGCTGCTGCAGCAGGCGGCCAAGGCGGGGAATGTGCGCCTGCCACCGTCGTCGTCGCCGCCGCCGTCGCTGCCGCGTTCGCAACGGCGCTCACAGCCGTCCATGAGTGCCGCCGCTGGCGTGAGCCTCCCCCCAGATGTGTGCGAGCTGCTCGGGGTAGCTGGCCGACAGGCCTCGCTCTCCGAGTGCTTTACGAGTCGCCCACAGCGGTGTGGCCGGCTCAGAGACGCGGACGATCCTGTAGGCGGCCCTCTTCTGCGTCGGCAGCCCGTTGCCGGCAGTCGACGAGGCCACTTTGGCGGGTTTCGACGCGTTGGACGTCGATCTGGTCGCCGTGTGCCCTTCCCGACAGGCCGAGGGCGGGAGCGTCCGAGTGGTCAAAGCACCGCCCTCGTCTGCGGTCGGTGTGCGTGTCGCGGCGGCACTCGGTGTCGACTTGTACGCCGCGGCGGTGCTGACTTCCCTGCTTGTCGACGAGTCGGGCTTGGTGCGCGCTCGGTGCAGCCTCGGGGACCGATCGCAGCACCCTCGCGCGCTGCTGGCCGAGTGCGAGAGGCTGTCCGAGGACCCGACATACGTGCAGCAGGAGACGCTGCAGGAGGCGCCCGAGCCGCCACCAGCGCCCACTGGTTTGGCCAGTGCGCAGCTTGCGACGCCGATCAGCGGACTGAAGTGGAACTCAGCGGAAAAGATGTTCCCGGTATTCTTTTCCGACAGCAAGCCCGTGCGGGGCGACAGCAGGCGAGGATATGAGAGGCGCGAATTTCTTTTTCGTTCCGCCTTGCTCCGGATAACGCGCCGAGGGCCCTCAGCGGAGCTGGGAATAGGACCGCCGCAAGCGGCGTGGCGTGGAGCGCTTGAGCCCCCCTCCGGGGACCCCTGCTGCGCCGGAGGAGCGTTGTTTGTAAAAGGCAACCCTTTTCCTGGCTCACAAGCCTACTCTGTACGGTCTCGGGAACCGTACCCGTACTACTCAAAAGTACAATATACTTTCTCACAGCACTAGCGAGATTTCGCGCGGAGGGCGTAGTGAAGCGCTGGGGCGCTCACTGTGTGTTATTCGGGTGGGGATCCATCAGTGGTAACCGGCTTTAGTCACAGATCCAAGCTCAGACGCCACACCAACACCACAAACACGCTCACTTCGCCGCTGCTGTAGATGGGCCCCCGGGGGCCCATACTACGTCGAAGTACGGACCCGATCTCGGCACTCACGGGCTGTCACGCGCCCGCGCGCGGCGCGGGCCGCACCGCCCATGCCCCCGGGTCACCGACCCCGCCTCTCGGCCCTCTCGGCCCTCAGGAGCGTGCGGGAGACCGGCGAGGGGCGCGCCGCGCGCCGCCTGCAGAGCCGCCAGAGGCATTGTCGCCTCCGCTGGCGGGGTTCCCGCGCGCGCCCGCCCGCGCCCGGACCCGCGCCCGCTGCGCCCGCGGGCTCCGGATGCGCCGCCCTCCGTCTCCTTCTTCTCGATGGCAGTCCGCACGTGCTTGTCGACGGGTCGGCGGCGTGGTCGAGGGGAAGGTCGCCGGCGGCCGCAACTCCGCCGCCGTCGCTCCGCCGGCTCTGATCGAGTATCGGGCGTTGAGGGCGGCGGCGCAAGCGGATCTGGCGCATCCATCGCCACGAGCCTCGCGACCGCGGTCGTGGCACACCTGGCGGCGGCTCTCGGGGCCGTCTCTACGGCGCTCGACGCCGTGTGAGGTCGCCGGCGGCCGCAACTCTGCCGCCGTCGCTCCGCCGGCTCAACCGAGTATCGGGCGTTGAGGGCGGCGGCGCAAAGTGGGTCTGGTGCGCCACACGGCCACCACCCTTGCCACCGCCCTTGCCGCCGCCCTTGCCACCCTTTGCCGCCTTGCCTACGCCGCGGGCGGCGGTGAGAGCGGCCTGCTGGGCTAGCATGTTGTCCTTGCTGGGGACGGGCACGTGGAACGCACGTTATATGTTCGAACGGCCTCCAGGGTAGGCAGCTTGCTCCAGCGCGGCGTGTCGGTCACGGTAGTGTGGACCAGCCTCGCCCTGCCGAGCCGGATCGTCACACGGCCGTTGCCCCCCAGCGTCCACGCACCGGGCTCCGACGCGGGAAGCATGCATGGACGTTTTTGCGTTACGCCCGTTCCCGTGATAAAGTCGAATAAAAGTAAGTCAAATGATTTGGAGCCGGGGCACGGAGGCCGGGCAAAATCCTGCAAAGGTGGGGACGTGTCTGTCCTCGACCCAGCCCTAGCTTGGGATGTCCGTTGTATTTATTTATTTATTACGGAGGCCGGGGAGACTGGGACGACTGGAAACAAGAAGACAGTGAGCCACCGCAGGCGTCGTTGGCGCACATACTGAGCGGCAGCTGCGCTGGAAATAAGGAAGAGGCGCGTCACTTCATGCGGAAGCTCGACAAACACACAGCGAGGGCGACAGCAAGAGTTGAACGGGAGGCGCCGGACTCAAAAGACACCGCCACATTCCTGAGACGAGCGAGGGCAGCCTCCTTAAAGGCGAAAGGGTCTAGATTTGGAGCGCTCGCCGAAGAGGAGTACGACAAAATAGCGCCCGTGATTGCCTGCACGCTACCCGCACTCACGGACTCCATACCCGAAAGAAAGAGAAGGGAGCTCGCGGGAGAGGTGACGAGTGAACTACAGGTAGTGGGGAAGGCAGCCTCGATTGCCATACAGACATGGGTGCGAAACAACGACAAGACCAAGGCACGGGCAGAGGAACGAGAGAAGAATATAGGGTGGATAAAGCGCCTGTTCACGGCATGGAGGGTGAGCCACACCGAACGTACCGAGCGAAGAGCCGAGCGGAAGGAGGACGGGGAAGATGACTCCGAGGACGACGAACCAGTGGAAATCCAGTTGTCAGATGTCACGATGCATCCGAAGGGGACCCCAGCGCCGGCATCATCCGTAGAGGCACGAGTGTTCGAAGAGAGAGTGGACCTGAGCAACAACATGACCTGTAGGCAAATGATCGGAGTGGGAGTCAGAAATGTGGTCCTTGCGCGAGGGGAGCTCGATAGACTCGAGGGGCCAGGATACGCCGCGAGGAGGACGGAGTTGCGCCGAAAGGCGAAAGAAGCCGCGAGAACAAGGGACCGGCAGGCGGCGGCGTCGCAGGACGAGGCAGAAGAGAACGACGCGACAGAGGAGGAAGTGACAAGGGAGAGAACGACGAGAGTGGGACGACCAAGAGGTGGCATGAAGGTTGCAGCGAGAATCGGCGAGAGACTGCGAAGAGAGATAGGAAGAGGCAGACTCCCTAGGGTGGGCGACGGCTAGCGCACCACACACCTCTCCTTAAAATCCCTGTGTGGTGGCGGCGTGCCGTCCTCCCATCCCTCCCTTGGGTTGTCTGTTTTCTTTCTTTCTTTCTTTTACGGAGGCCGGGCGGAGGGGTTTTGAATGGTGACGCCGTCGCCAAGTGGGAGTGTGTCGTCGCGTGTCCTTGTCTGGTGTTTAATAGCTCCGAGTAGAGGGGGCGTTCTGCTGCTAGGGGGGAAACCTGGAGCGCGGTACTAACCCTCGGAGAACCGTGTTTATTTTAGGGCCGCCCCTTTCCCTGCGGACGCGCACCCGCCCCCCAGGGCTACTGACGTACACGTACCGGGCTCTCTTGCCCGCAACCCGATCCCGATCATCTGGCCCGCTGGGTGTGTGCTTCTTAGCCCCCCGGCTCTGGGGGAGCTGGGTGTGAGGCTAATCCTAATGACTGCACTCCAAGTGCTCCAAGGTCGGTCTGTCGCTCTACCCCGGTGGCCCTCTGACACGTTCACCCACAAGGCCAGCGAATGCGCACCCCCTCCACCGCCCACTCCCAATTTCCGCAATTCGCGCAATCAGTCCACACACGCAATCGGTCCACACACGCAATCGGTCCACACTCTCCTCTCGCTGCTCCCGCGGCGCTCAGTAGCCGCCCTCGAGCCGCTGCCAGCGCCACACCGCAAAGTCATCGGCGGCGAGGCGGCGGAGCGACTGGGCGGCGCACAAGCCGCCGGCGACGAGGAGGGCGAGGAGGGCGTGCAAGGAGACGCCGTTGGCGAGGGGCGTGTGCATCCGGATCGGGTACGCGGCGAGAGGCAAGCAGCCCAGCCACGCGAGCGCGAGCCGGCCGAGGTAGCCGCACGCGACGACGTTGATCACGCCAGACAGCACCGCGTCGGCGGTTGTCGGAAGCGGCGGCTGCAGCAGCGGCGCCAGCGAAGAGAGCGTGCGGGAGGGCGCACCGGCGGCGGCGCAGATGAGCCACAGCTTTGCCTGCAGCACGCAGCAGGCGAGAAGCAGCGCGTCCAAGTCCCACTCCCAAAGAGGCACCTAGGTAGTGTTACAGGTAGCACTCCTGCTCTCGTGCAGCGCCGGCGAGGGTGGCGGCGTGTCTCGCTCCCGCGCGCGCGAGAAGAGAGGCGCAAGGAGGACTGGGAGGAGAGCGGCCGGCAGAAAGGGCAGGAGGGACACGCGCAGAGAGAGAGAGAGAGAGAGAGAGAGAGAGAGAGAGAGAGAGAGAGAGAGAGAGAGAGAGAGAGAGAGAGAGAGAGAGAGAGAGAGAGAGAGAGAGAGAGAGACGGGGGAGGCAGGAGGGAGAGGCTGCAGTGGGCAGCGCCACCAGCCGCATCGAGGCGCAGACGAGGAGCGGCTCCACGACCAAAGAGCGGAGGGCGCGGCCTAGCCCCGCGCCTGCAGCCGAGGTGCAGCCGAGGTGCGGCCGAGGTGCAGCCGAGGTGCGGCCGAGGTGCAGCCGAGGTGCGGCTGCGAGATCTCTCGCCTATATCTCGGCTAGATCTCGCACCGACCCGCGCCGCGAGGTGCGACGCCTCCGCGACGACGGCTGCCGCGAGCGACTCGTCCCCTTCGCCGTGGCCTCGCCGCCACCGCTCCTTGTGCCGGCCCCGCCCGCCTGAAGCGCGAGATACAGCCGAGATACAGCCGAGGTATAGCCGAGGTATAGCCGAGGTATGCCGAGATGCAGCCGAGATATCGCTCGCCCGGTGTCTGTCTCTTCCCGAGTGTCCGTGGCCGCGCCGGGGGAGGGGGGGGGGGGAGGGGTGTGTGTGTGTGTGTGTGTGTGTGTGTGTGTGTGTGTGTGTGTGTGTGTGTGTGTGTGTGTGTGTGTGTGTGTGTGTATGTGTGTGTGAGTGTGTGTGAGGGAAGAGAGCCCGACAGAGGCGGTGAGGCGGGGGTGCAGTGCCCATCTACGGCCGCCCGCCCCACAAGCCCGCAAGCCAGGCACGCGCGCGGCGCGCCGCCGCCCGCACAAGCTCCAGTGGGCCACGGCCTTCCCCGCCAGCGCGGCCGCCGGCATCGCCTCTTCCGCTGGTGGCGATCCGCCGCCGCCTCCCGGCGGATGCCTCGCTCTACGAGATGCGGCCGAGATCTCTCCGTCAGGGAACCGAGAGGACCCGCCCCCCCCCCAAGGCTTCGCCGCCGCCTCCGCGCCGCCGTAGTCCGACGCCGCGAACACGGAGCGCACCCCAAACGGCGCGCCTGCTCTCGGCCAGCCTCGGCTGATCTCGGGCCGATCTCGGCGAATCTCGGCCGATCTCCCAGATCCAAGCGCCCCCCGCCTGCCCCGAGGGAGGAGGCGGCGGCGGCGGCGGCCGTCGTCGCCGCCGCGCCCGCGCCCTCGGTGAATGGGAATCCGATGGTGTACTCCTCGACGGCGAGCGGCGAGGGCCTGGCGTGTGCACAGAAACAGGGCGCACGGAGGCAGAGGAGGTGAGAGGGGGGGGGGGGGGTGCGGTGTGGTGCGGTGTGATCAGAGCAGCGCGTGGGTAAAGACGGCTGTGGATTCGAGACGTGACTGCGGCTGACCACAGCCAAGCACGTCTCGTCTCGAGCGCTGGTTGGAGTACACGTGGTTGTGTGCCCGCATCTAGGGGCCGGAGGCATGATGGAGCGGAGGAGCGGCTGCAGCGGAGGAGGCACCAGCACCTTGCAGAGGGGCGTGGGACAAAGCAGCAGTGTGACCGCGTGCGTGTGGGCTCGTCGTCCGTGCCAGGACGTGTGCACGATCTGGACTCAAGTGCCCTCCCCCCGCCCCACCCCCCCGTGCTCGAGAGCGCGCGCCTCGTCGAGCGCCCGGTCGAGGGAGAGCGCGTCGCGGATGAAGCCAAAGGCGAGGAGGAGGAGGATCTGTCCCTCCCAGAGGGCGAGCTGCAGCGCGCCCAGCGCCAGCAGCCACCGCAGCGCCAGGCACTCGAGGTGGCCGCAGTCGGGAGCATCGAGGAGGTGCCTCCACCCCCGCGAGGCGGCGGCGCGAAGGTCGGCGCCGCTCCAGCGCCGGCGGCCGAGCAGGCAGCTGAGGAGGTAGGAGAGCAGGCCGGGGGCGCGGAGCCCGCGAAAGGGTTGCTGGCACACACTGCAGACTGCAGAGTTGAGATTAGCGCCGTGCGAGTACTTGAGCCAGCGGAGAAGGCACTTGGTGTGCACAAACTCGAGCGAGCCGCGGCAGCCGCACGGCTTCACGAGAGGAGCGTCCGGGTACGCGACGTCGCGGCAGATGCGGCACTCGGGCTCCTCTTCCATGTCCAGAACGGGGCGCCGCGCGCTCAGGAGCGCTCGCCGCTCGCAGGCCAACTCCTCCGTCCTGCACAGTGCGTGCGGGTTCCAACTTTTTGGGGGGTATGGTATGGTACGCGGCCCAAAGGGTGGGGGGGTATGGTCCTGACCGCCCATCCCCGGTCTCCGGGAGGCTGGGTCTGTCAGCAGGCGGGGGGGTATGGTCTCGAGGTGGGTTGCGTGAGCCTACCATACCATACCCCGCAAAAAGTCCGAACCCAGGTTGAACTCGATGCCGCAGCTTCACAGCCTCCGCCGTGAAGCTTCCAGCATGTCGAGGGCGGACGCGCTTCGGCGCCATGGTTTTGGCGCAGCGCTTCGCCGGCTGTCATCCCAGTCCATTGGTCGCTCCACAACGATTCCCAGGCGTGCCCGCAGCTCTACCCGCCGAACTCACGATTTTGGGCGCTCAAAAGCGCCGACTTTGTGGTCTCGTCAAGATTTGCCCGACGGGAGGCGACATGGGGCTTCTGGGGGCGGAACAATTCACACCTCGCGCAACAACTTATGTTTTCGTAAACGTAGTCGTGGCCCCCCGCTACGTCGGACGAGTGCAACTGGGTACTCGAGTAGGGTGGCGCACGCAACTTCTCTAAACGCTACGACCGCGTGCCTGATCGAGCTCTAGCCCCAAGGCTGGCACGCGTCCGAACTCGAGAGGCAGCGCGTGCCTGATCGAGCTCTGCAACGATGAGCCGACCAGCGATCGGCAAGCGGAAGCAGCAGCAGAAGCGCCGGCGAAAGGCCAAGCAGCGCAGTCGGCAGCCATCGCGCCACTCGAGCGGCGCAGACGCGGCCGCCGCGGCATCCAGCGCGACCGACAAGGCCACCGCTGCTGTGGCGGCGCTGGAGTACCTCCAGGCGTGGTGCCGTCGCGAGGAGGGCGGATGGAAGTTCAGCAAGGTACGGCAGAGTTACTTGCTGCGCGCGTGGCCCGACCCAGTCAAGCTGCCGCGCGAGGCCTTCGGCCTGCTGCTCTCGTACCTGCCGACGATGCACGAGGGCGCGATTGCGCGGACGCTAGAGCAGGCGACCGCGGTCGCCGCCGCGGCCGAGGAGGAGCGGAAGCGGCTCGAGGCGTGCCTCGACGAGGCGGAGAGGGCCGAGGACGCCGCCGAGGCGGACGAGGCTCAGCTGGCGGTGCTCAAGATTCGGCTGATGCGGGCGCTCAAGGTCGCGGCGGCGCTGGGGCCGGAGGAGGGAGAGGAGGGCTCCGAGGAAGAGGAGGGCGGCGATGAGGACGCGGGAGAGGAGTCAGAGGAGGGCGAGGAGCGCAGAGCGGAGTCTGGCTCGGAGGATATGAGGAAGAGGGAGACCCAGAGGACGTGAGACATCGACTCGCCGCCTTGTCGCTTGTGTGTCATGCTACATTCACACAAACAACCATCCCGTTTTGCGCTTAATGCTGCTGCGTCGCCGTGCCGCGTGGGATCGGCCTCTCTCGAGAGATCGGCCTCTCTTTTTTTTGACTCTTCACGTGTCTCTATCGCGCCCCTTATCTCGCGGCACTCGGGTGGATTATCCGTCTAGCGTCTACGTCTATCGATCTCCTCTACGGACGGTGTGACTTGGAGCACTTGGAGTGCAGTCAGTAGAGCCGTCGACACCCAGGGCCGGGCCCGGGGAGCTAAATAAGATGTAAGAAGCGCGGGGACGCCAGGAGATCGCCGGGAGAAGCGCACCCCCAACTCCCGGCACGATGGCAAACCGGGTGTGAGCGAAGTCGCCTCTATTTGTCACTCGCCATGCGCGTCCTTGGCTGGCCCTCCAAAACTCCCTCCCCGCCGTTCGCGGCTCGGCTTGCGTATGCGGGTGGGAGCTTCGAGGACATGCAGGCGTCCCACCCCCTCCGGCCATCCCCCCGGCTCCCAAGTGCGCGGCCGTGACGCGCTGCGCACCCTCTTCCGCGCTGCGCCCGCTCTCGGCATGGCCGTCGTCCGCCGAGATCACCTCCTCTTCGCGCCGCAGGTGCACAACCAAGGGCTGGCCACCTCCGTATCCATCATGGTGAAGCCAATGGCAGCCAAAAAGGGAGAGCGCTCCCCTCCCAGGTGGCCGGAGGGTACACCTCGGGTCGGCGTGCTGGGGGGGGCGCTGGTGCGCAAGCCCACTTTCCGGGCGCCCCCGAGGGGGAGGAGGCCGGGCGAGTGGCAGCAATTCACTGATATTGTCCCGGGCCGCTGCGGCACCGTTTATACGGCCCCTCGTGATGTCCCTTTCCGATTTTGCATTGTGAGTCGTCCTCTGGCCAGCCGAGGGGCACCAGAACGGCATGTGTACTGCTGCTGGCTGCGGGTGCGGAACGGGCTTTTTTTAACTCGCAACCAAGCATACTATACAAGGACACCCTCGGGGGGGACACTCGGCGCATGTGCGACGCGTCAGGGTGGAGTTGGCGGTGGCCGAGCGTCGTCTCCCAATCGACTCGCAGCGCGGAGTCGAGGGGTGAAGCGCGTCGCGCTGCGACACTCGAGAGCCGGCGGGATGGCCGTAGCGCGTAGGGCGCAGCCGACTTTGATGTCCTCGAAGGTCCGGTGAGCATTCGTCCTCTAGACCCACGCGTACAGGAAAGGGGCGAGAACGAGGCCTTTTGAGGCGGACATTTTGGGGCGACATCCACCCCCGTGACGAAAACGAACACACACCAAGCGCTAAGCGTGAGGACACGAGTTCGAAATTCGTAGGAGCATCTGAGCAAAATTGAGCCCGCTCAGGTGTGAACAAAAAGTATAAGGGTCGACCAGGTTTCGAACTGGGGACCTCCCGCCAGCGGGAAGGCTTCCAGCAAGATACGCTGGATTGAAAAGGAGGTCACAGTTCGGGAAACCTATGTAGCATACCGCGGGAATTAGACACCACAGAACGCACACACCGACGCCCGAAGTGCCAAGAAGGACGTCATCAGTACGAAACCTCAGAAGGCCATGGGCGCCGAGAGAACATTCCCCCGAGAGGACAAAAGAAAAAGGCTTCGCACCCCCTCCTTGCGCAGTGACCCTCGCTAAGTGTCGCCGTTATCGGGGCACGCTATCCTGCGCAGGCAGGGCGAGCCGGGGGCGGGGGGCACTCCCCCTGGTCTGATACTGGGGTGTGACTGTCTCCAGTCTCGGAGGGGGGCAAAAAGATAAGAATATCTAATTTTGGGGCGACATCCTGGCGCGTTCGCCGTTCCACACAGTGGGGTAGCACACGTGCGCAGCATAGCGTCCTGTTTACCCCGCGTTAAGAGCTCGCGTATATTTTAGCTGTTTAACTTTAAGGGATCGGGTTACGCGGGCGCTAGAGAGCCCTAGCCCTGGGGGGTGCGCGTTCGCAGGGAAGGGGCCATAAAGTAAACACGGTTCTCCGAGGGTTAGTACCGCGCTCCGGGTTTCCCCCCTAGAGTGACGAGACTGTGCGCTCGTGAGACGCGTGACGAGCTGACACGACTGTGACTCAGATCTCGCGAATGCGCGAGTCGTAAACATCGACTCGTTTGCGACGCTGCAGCTAGCGAGCGGCGTGCAAGGGGCCAGCATGTGCTGCCCCATCGGCCCAACATCACCTCGGGCCGCGACCCTGGTGTGCTTGCTCAGTACGTGCCAGCTCACTGCAACTTCGAGCCCTGCCAAAAGTCGGCGCCGTTTGGCTCGAGAAAGGCGAGCCACTGCTCGGGTGTCCACCCGCTGGAGACGATGCCCGCCTCGAGCCCGTTGACGTGCACCGTCGGAGTGACGTGCACGCCGCGCGTTCGGTGGTGCTTGCAGATCCATTTGACTGCCTGCGTCACCTCGTTGCCCACGTTGTTGCCGTCGGCGGAGGCGCGCATCGCGAGCTTCGCCGCCGTCGCGGCGCGGTCTACCCCGACGGACGCCGCCAGGTCGCACAGCTCGGCGTTGATCTGCGTGCGTGACTTCTCCCACGTGTCGCGGTCGGTGAACTTACCCTTGTCAAAGCACTCGTAGATGGCGCCAATGTAATTTGGGTACAGATCCGGCGCGACCTCCTTCACCGCGAGAGCCGCCTCGTGCACGTACGAGCCCTGCGCGTGCCACGGCTGAGGCACCTGGTGCAGCACAAAGCACGCTCGGTCGCCAGCACGCTCGATCACCCTGCCCTCGGTGAGTGTGACAAACATCTTGCGCGAGAAGGGACAGATGAGGTCGAGGAACATCTCAACACGCACAGGTGAAGCGGCGGCCGCCGAGTTCAGCACGTAGCCGATCGCAGTCGGAGACAGTGGCGGCCCCATTAGTCTCAGAGCCAGCACTGCCGACGAGCGTATGAGCTCAACGCGGGTCGACAGGGTTCCAACTTTTAGGAAGGTGGGGGGGGAAATCGGCCCACGGCAGACGTACGTCCGTTACACGCCCAAATAGGGGGTAGGGGGTAGGGGGTAGGGGGTGACGCCCAACCCCCCGACTTACTCTACCCTACCCCCCTCGCGCCTCGAACCCTGGCGGCACCGCGGGTGCACTAACTTCCGAGAAACCCTTCGGCACGCTCCTCGTCGCAAACCCCGTCAGCAGTCCTCCTCCGGGAATGTACGTAAGTCTAAGAGCTACACACACTAAATAAATAAACAAAACGGACTGCAGATGGGTAAAAAGGAACAGGTCCCCGCCCGTGCGATCTTCGTATGATACACACTGAGAGAGAGAGAGAGAGAAGAGTGGTTTGCAACACAAAACTCCTTAGGGACCCCTAGGCTTAAAAGGGTGGCCCTGGGGCGCCTGCGGCTTAAACGGCTTGAAACTTGCCCGGGCAAGTTTTAAGAAAGAGCTGCTGGGCCGCCAATTCCGTAAAGGAAGAATTTCAGATTACTCGGAATCTGAAAATGTTTTTTTCAGATTACTCGGCGAGCACAGATTACTCGGAATCGAACAAAATTTTAGGATTGTAGATTACTCGGACCGAACAAATATTTCCTCAGATTACTCGGCTCGCCTGCTTACCCATTTCAGTCGTGAGAGGGACTGCTTCTAAAATTCTTTGATGTGCTGTGCGACCGCCTTTCGTTAAAAAAAAATTCAGCTTTACTCGGATCCGCCCGCCACGATCCTGAAGACACATCGCACGAAACCCTCGAGAAGCACACAGAGCATGATCCACGCGTTCGCCGCCTCCCGCTCCCGCTCCACCCGCCGCGACGGGTGGGTGCGCAAGCCGCCTCCCGCAACCATGGGCGACTATCTCCTCGGTGGAACCGCACTCAAGCAGGCTCCGGAGCACCCGACCTCCGCGAGCATCACGAGCATCAAAGAGAAGGTGCTCAACCTCAACGACCAGACCGCCTTCCCTGCGTTTGGCAAGAGCGGCGGCGGGGAGAAGTCGGCGGGAAAGCCGGCGGCGGCGTCCAAAGTGGCGCCCCGGCTCGCAAAGGCGAGCAAGGCCTTTGTCGTCAATTGTAGTGTTTGTTTTGTTGTATCGACTGCGTTTCAACTCCCGTCAGCCGTCGGTCGCGCGCATCCGCATGTAGCGAGATGGGAAAGCGGGTGTAGACGCGGTGTTGGTGCACAGGGCGGCGAGACGTTGTGACAGCAGCGTTTCGTGCGAAGGGCGCGAGGAGTCCGTGTAGTGGTTGCGCACGTTGGATTGGAGGGGGGCGTTCGGCGGCGGCTTTTCCCAGCCAGATGTTTACTCGGGCGATGGAAATGTCTAACTAATCGGTTTCTTCAATTTACTCCGGCTGGCCCCGAGTAAACTGCGACGGAAAGAAATGTGAATGTGGTCCTGTTTTTTTCAGTTTACTCGGGGCCCCGAGTAAACTGCGACGGAAAAAATGTCGAAATGTCGTCCCGAGTAATCTGGTTTTTCAGTTTACTCGGAAATCCGCGTAATGTGAAAAACAATTTCAGATTCCGAGGAAACTGGGATTTTTCCTTCCGTAAACGGTCTTAAACGCTTAAACGGTGTGCGGGAGAGCTCCCGAGGTCGATGGTCCGGGAGGCTCCCGGTAGACGCCGGAGGCCGGGAAGCTGGCTACAGTCAGCTAGCACGCGTCCCCTATGCGAGTATGGCTCCTGTCAGTGCACCTGCAGTGCACCAGACTTACAGATGTGTCTTCCATAGTCTGAGGGTATCCTAAAAGTTCGGCCGATTTGGGTCAAAACGCTAAAAGCACGCCTAGGCGTAGATTTGGGGCAAAACGACAAAAGTGGGCCCGCCCGGGGCAAAATGGTAAAAGTCGCGCGCCGCAGGCGCGCGAAAATTTTGGACATTCTACGTACTCTCCGGCAGCGCCCGCGGCGCTCTCCAAATACTCGCTCACTATAGCGGCGTGCAGCCGGCGGCGCAGCCACGCCTTGTTGCCCGAGAGGGCCTCGCCACGCTCGCCCAGCTCCTCCTTGAGCTCCACCACCTTCATCGCCACCAGATCCTTTTGGACCTTTCGCATCGCCGCCGCCGCAAAGAGCCCCGGGCAGCGGGCTCAGCCTCGTGCTCAGCAGCGCCCGCCCGCCCGCGGCCACGTTGGCGCTGGCGATCATCACGGTGCCGGCAGACGTGGGGTTGCTATCATACGCAAGCACGAGCGGTCGGTGACGCGACGGCGTGTGTAGGGTGCCCACAGGACCCAAAAGAAAATAGCTTTCTGGCTCAAAAAGGGACGCACGCGGCAAATCTGATGTTGGCCAGTTCCAATAGGAGAGAGGCCTCTTCCGTTGGGGGACCGAGTGACTAGGAAACGAGGGTTCCCCGGTTTGTCACGCGCGAGCACGAGCGTGACACTGCACTTGGCGCCGAGCGCCCGCGGCTCAGACCTTGTGCAGGCCACCCCTCATTGGGCACGCCGGTCTGGACCGATGGCGCTCGGTGTGGAGCAAGCAAGACACACCCACCCCCCCTCGGCGCGCGCTCGCCATTCCAACGGCCGCCAGGAGCACGAAGAGGACTCCTCATGGCTGTGCCCAAGTGGGCTTCGACCGGCCTCGGCTGGGGGGGCGGGTTGTCCCGGTTGCGGACGCGTTCTGCAGCCCCCTGGGCCCGTGACAGCACCCCAAAACTGCCCCTCGGCGGCATACAGCACTGCCAGCCAGCCTCTTCCTCCTCCTCAAGGGCTGTACTATAGGCCATATTGCGCCGCCTCCTACTGGCAGCCGGGCGGGCGCGCGCCGCGGGCGCCTCGGCGCGCGCACGGCTCGCAAAGTTCGAACGAGTACTGCCGCCCGGCCGCCTCAAGGCTGCCGGGCGGCAGTACTCGCCTCGCAAGGCGCGCACCGGCTGCTCTGGCTGCTGCGCCGGCGGCCGCTGCGTTGGCCGCTGCTGCGCCGGCTGGCGGGCGACACGGCCGCCGGCGGCCGCTGCGCCCGCGCCTTCCCTCGCGGGCGCCGTCGCGCCGCGCGCGCCCAATTCTGCTGGTACACGGCACGCGTCGTCACACAGCCGCGGAGAACAGGCGGTGCAGCGCGCGAAGCGCGTGCGATCTCGTACTTTTAAGGCTGGATCCGGCCATTCCAAGGGTATACCTTTGAGAATCCCCAGCGTCCCACCCTCCTAGTCACACTCTCAATATCTCGACTAGCCAACACGAAGTGCTGCGATCGGGGGTGGCCCATTTGTTTTTTCTTTTCTTTTTTTGGTCCTGTGGGCACCCTAGCGTGTGCATCACCGTTGCCCAGGCGCGAAAGTGTGTTGTGGGAGGATGCGTCCTTATGTGTCAGAACTTGTAGCGCTACATGTTTGGACACACACGGGAACTATCTCTCACTCTCTCTCTCACTCTCTCTCTCTCTCTCTCTCTCTCTCTCTCTCTCTCTCTCTCTCTCTCTCTCTCTCTCTCTCTCTCTCTCTCAATCCTCAATCGCTACCAACCAATCCGCAAGAAAGGAAGCTCTCTCTCCCAATCCGCAATCGCTACCCACCCAACGCGGCCAAACAAAGCCCAAAGGATCTGATCCCCCTCGAGAACCTCGAGAGTACACCAAGCGAGAGAAGAAAAACAACTTAGACAGGCTCGACACAGGTGCTGACTGGCGGCGCTAGCACCGCAGGACAAGGAAAATCTCGCCCCCCCCGCGCAATGCACCACCCCCCCCCCGGGCGGGGGGAAGCTTGCGGGTGGCGGTCTCTAAACGCTGGTCAACGGTCAAGCTCACTGGGCACTTGTCAGCTCGATCATCAACTTTTCCCCTCACTGTCGGGCGACGCCCTGACCGGCCATCGGTCTACGCGCTGCTCCGGCAGGGTCATGATTGGAGGTAGTGATGGGCTTGCGGGGCTTGCGCTTGGCGCCGCCCTCGCCGCTGGCACAGCTGGACTACTCGTACGACGGCTGGGCTGGGACCGGCTGAGGTGGGCAACGCCACATGCGCTACACTTGGAGCAGCTTAACGTGCACGAGATCATTGAAGACGACACCACCTCCGTGCGCTGCGAGCTCAGCGAGAGCATCGGCCGCCTTAAGCTCGGCGTGATGGAGGTGAGAGCCGCCGCCGACGCCGTGCGAGGCTCACTGGCCGGAGCAGGGGCGGAGGCGCGGGTGGTTGTTCAGTCAGCCAGCGCTCTCGACGGTCGGTCGGCGGAGCTCGAGGCGGCCTCTTGCCGCTGCGCTGAGCGTGTCGAGCTGCTCACTCGGCTGGTTTTCGACAGCCGCACTGCCTCTCTCCCACCTGAGGTGTCGCCCGAAGTGGCGTCGAAGATTCTAGCGCTTGACCGGGCGCGGGCGGCCGCCACCCTCCCCCTTGCGCTGCCGGACGCCCTCCGAGACCTCGGACACGCGAGCGCTAATCGGCAACCAGCGACCGCCGTGGACCAGCCGCCACGCAGACGCCTGCCACCGCTCCCTACCCACCCGCCGCCACCGCCGGCCTCGTCCTCTCGCGTGGCCTAGTCCGTAATTTGAGTGGAGTGTTTGCTGGAAAGAATAAAGATGTTAGCGCGCAAGCCGCGAGCAGAGACCAGAGACTCGCCTCTCGCGCAGAGCGGTCTCCCAGAGTCGCGGCACACGCCACTGGGCAGAGTGTGCATACTGATTCTGATACAGGGCCCACAGACACGTGCACAGACAGGAGGAGGGGAGAGAGGTGAGAGCGGTGAGCGCAGCCACGTTCGGTTGAGCCAGAGCGCAGCGGGAGACGAGAGACCGAGTCGCCGTTGGGGCTGAGACAGGCGGCGAGCAAAGGCGGCGAGAGAAGCAGAAGGCCGTGATGCGTGAGGACACCGTGAGCCCCGACGCGAGGCGCTGTGGAGGGTTAGACGCCCGCTCGGAGACAAGCGCCTCTACCGGTCCTCTCTGAACGGTCAGCGGGCCGAAGCGGTAATCTTCCTCCCGGCGGAGTATACCAATTCTTTTTTGCTTGGCGTATTAAAAGTACGCAGGTTGCACCCTGTAAAATCGTCGAGATTGCCCGAGGTGGTAAAGAGGGCGGGGAGGATCGCGAATGTGTTTGAATCCTGCGCAACGTATATACCGACCGCGTAAAAGGTCCCCGATAACTCGGGTGTTCTCGCTCGGGCTCGTGTGCTCGTGCGGGCGGACATAACGCAGTCTACAATCTCCATGGCCTCAACCCAGTCAGCCGTGTTGAGGTTCAGCCTGGACGAGATCATCGGGATATCACTGTCTGAGATCGAGGGCGCCGCTGGAGAGCTTTCGAGTAGCAACGACACCCCCCGAACATGCCTACGCTGCGGGACGCAGTCCACACCAAAGTGGCGGAGAGGCGGAAGCCTCTGCAATGCTTGCGGGCTGCGAGACAACAACTGGCGGCGCACGAGTGGAGTGTCTGGCGGGGTGGCGGCAGAACGACCCGGGGCGAAGGATTGGGATGAAGCAGCACCAAAGCGCACGAAGAAAATGCGTGGATCTTCGCAGCCTAGAATGAAGGGGGGGGATGGGGACTCAGAGGGCGAATCGCGCTCGAAACCTCCGAGTCGCGGCTGGAAAATATCGCCTACTGCTGTGGATACCAGCGCCGAGCCTCCCTGCCGCACGCCCTCCCTGGCCTCAGCGGCAGGCTGCTCATCGAGCGCTGCAGCGGTAGGCGACACTTGTGCCACCGCCTGTGCTGCTGAGGCCATGGCAGTGCATGTCGCGTGCGTGCAGGATGCTGTGAGCGGGCCAGCGCCGTCGCTGCTGACTTCACCAACTATGCCGTGTGGTGGGGCTCTCCTGCCGACATTGGTCTTGGCATCGAGCACGGTGTGCAATAGCGTGGCTTTCCCAACCTTCCCCTGTCCCTCCTCCCACCACTCATGTGCATACTGCCACAGCTGTGGTTGGCAACAGGCTGAAGGACCCGTAAGCAACGTGACGCCCAGCCACCCACCGCAGGAGTTCTTGTGAGTTTGCGAAAGACCCGGAGCTCAACTCATCTTCGTTGGACGGGCGCTCCCATGCTTGCTGCTACGTGGGCTTGTGGCAGGAACTGCAATAGAGCAGTGACAGGCTCATAGCCCCGGTTGTGCCGAGCAGGCCAGTGCCGCTTGAACGACCACATCGCTTGGCGCGGTGAGCACCGCGAGTGCCGCACAGCGCGAGCGCGCGGGCGAGCGCGGGCGAGCGCCGCCGCTGCCGCCAGCGCGGGCGTGCGCCGCCCAGTGCGGGCGTGCGCCGACAAACGGTGACACAAAGAGGGGACATTGCGCGCGCCTGCGGTGTGATTGGTGAATTCTCTTCCATCTTCGTCTCAATTCTCTTCGTTTCGCGCTTTCGACTATTCGACAGTACGGCATGCGTACTCTCGACCGCGGCCTGCCCGACGCGTTGCAGATGCCATTCGTCCGCTCTGCCGCCCTGCGTCGTCATCTGGTGAGTCATCTGCGACCCGAATCGATGTGCAGCACCATTATGTGCCGTCCTGGTTTGCAGACAAGGTAATCTGACCATCGCCGCCTGCATTCACCATATACGCGCGAATCCATAGCACGCGACACAGGTAAACTCCGTCACCAGGTGTCGCCACTAGTCGACGGGCTTCCAGTGCCGTCGTGGAGCGCTGAGACGGCGCGGGAGCTCGCCAATGCGTCTGAAATCAGGAAGGCGGTGCTCAGCGTGCCCCACGACCTCGGCGCTTCGCTCGGCAGTGCAACGCCGAGATGGCGGCGCTGTGCGCCACGGACCCGCTCTTTGCCTTCTTTGCAGCGCTGCCGGACCCTGACGTGGACATCGAGGCGTGCATCGAGGAGGTGTGGTCACTCCCTCGCTAGATCACTCTTGCTCGTTCGACGCATCTCACCACCCTCCTGCGTCACGCGGAGGCGGAGCGCGCATTCGACGAGCTCGGCGCGGTGGGCGTCGGGATGTTTACGTCGTACGGACAGGCTCACACCACTTTCCCAGGGGATGCCTCTTTTGAGTCGCTGTGGGCGTTCCTCAACGAGCGTGCGATCTGATCTACAGCGGAACCAAGGGCGCCCATCCCGACGTCGCGATCATCCTTTCGCACGCAGGCGGCACGCTCCCGTTTATCGCGCAGGCGCCCGCAAGCCACGGAGCCCGCCAGGCCAGACACCACCCCGAATGCGGCATCTTGACTCCCCTCTGGTGTGCCACAGCGGGCTGCCTTCAGTGGGCCCCTAGCGCGGGCATACGCCTCTCCAATCTCTGCAGCCCAAGGGCCCTTCGCAGAGGAGGACCCGGCGGAGTTCATGGCGCTGGCGCGCAGCTTCTATTTCGACACCGCCCTCTCCGGCGATCCACTCGTGATGCAGGTGGGAGGCATGAATCGCCCTGCCCTTGCTGCTCCCCTCTCCGCGCCGCTGCCTGCCCCCCACCACTGCCCCCCTCGGCTCCACCGGCCGCCACTTCCATTCCGCATCGTGTAGACCCTCGCGTCCTTCCTGGGAGAAGAGGCCCACGCGCAACGCGTGCTCTACGCAACCGACTTCCCGTTCGTGCCCCATCCGGCGGTCCAGCTGCAGGACGCGGGGCTGAACGCGTACTTGGAAACCACCGGCTCGGACGACGTGTCCGAGGCCATCTGCCACGGCAATGCCGAGGCCCTCTTTCCGCAGCTTGGATCCACCGCATAGTCCGCAATGCGGAAAGAAAGAATCTTACAACAAAACGCTCTCTCACAACACTACTCACTAGGCACGGGACTGGCGCGCACCTCTGGCACTAACACTGTGGGGCATACACATTACCGACCTACACACCAATACAACGGCTTTATGCACAAACCACAATAAGCGCGAAGACGAGAAAACGAAGTGAAGAAAACTCTACCTCGACGCTCTACTACCGCACGCTCTAGCCTCTAGGGCTGGGAGAAGGAGAGAGTAGAGAGTGGCCCCCACCCGCACCGTGCAGGGATTAGTTTGACGTATATTGTGTACACAGTGATCTGTAAGGGTCCGCCCGCAGTAGAGAGAGAACCGCTAGGGTTGCCTAACGTTAGGAGCTGAACAGTGTTGCTAGTGTTAACAGTAACAACAGAACAACAGTGGGGCTTCCCAACAACAGTAGCTAACGTTAGGCCGACTGAACAACAGTAAGGAAGGCCTGGCAGTGACCCACGACGATCTCTAGTGTCCAGTGCGGGTAATACCCGAAAATACCCGCCGGGAAAACCCAGGTATTTTCGGGTTTTACCCGGGTTTTTTGCGCCATTTTCTGCTCTTGCTGGCCGCTGAACAACACAGTAACAACAGTAACAAACAGTAACAGCATGGGCTGGGGTGAACACTTGAACAACGTTGAGGATTTCAGCCAACAATAGCGCAACTGTTAGGCCCCAAATTAACGTTAGGCAACCCTAAGAACCGCATTAAAACTTTTTTATCCGATTCGTTTTAACATTTTTAAGGGGTGGAGAGCGAGAGTTTTCAGCGCTCATGCTGACCCTCCGCGATGTGCAAGATGGGTCACTGTGCGGAGAGTAGTGAAGATAAACAACGACGAGACGGCGTCAGTCGCTACTCAAGTAAGCGCCACTGCCTCCTGCTCGTCCTCGCCCGGCCGCGCCTCCAGCGCGAAGTGCAGCACCCTCACCGGGTCGGCGTCCCTCAGGTGGGGGTAGAAGCGGCGCAGCGTCGCCCTCAGCTCGTCTGCGGAGCCGAGGCCCTCGGTGGCGGCGAGCGTGCCGTTGAGCCGGTCCACGCGCGTCCTCTCGAGGCGCGAGATGCGGAGCCTCGCAAAGGGGGCAGCCGAAGCCCTGCCGCTGCAGGTGCGACACGTGGCGTTGGCAAGGTGGCCCACCTTCAGACGCGAGAGCAGGGGCTCTCCGTCCACGCCCACGTACCGGGTCGTCGCCGCTTTGCGGCCGTCGAGAATCTGCGGCACAAACTCGGGCGCAAAGTCGATGGCCGGCCCCTCCTCTGCGGGGCGGCGCAACCGCCTGGTCAGCCAGGCGCCGAACGCGCGGAGTGACCACCGTGCCTGCGTCCGCTCCGGCTCCGGCTCCGCCGCCCGCGCCTGCTCCTCCAGCAACCGCATCCGGCGCTTCTCGTTCCTGGCCGCGATCAGTCGCCCGGCCGTCTCGCGCCCTCCCGCCGTCAGCTCGGCCCAGTTGCTCAGGCGGTGCAACGAGCCGTCCTTCCCGAGTGCCACTGGTCCCAGCGCGTCGAGCTGCTGCCGGTCGGATTCCGAGAGCGTCGGCACTGAGCCAGACAGGAGAAGCAGCAGCATCCCGCGATATTTTTTCTTTTGTTGACCCCTCTTGCGACTACAAGACCCATTTTTTCAGTGTATGTAGCTCTTACGAACATACCCGTAGGTGAACTGCTGACAGGGTTTGCGATGAGGAGCGATCCGAACGTGGTATTCGGGTGATTAGATCACCACCGCCGAAGCGCAAGCGCTTGGAGCAAGCAAGGGAACTGCCACGTATGGGTCCCAGACTAGCACCCCACCTCGCGGGCCGACGTTCTGGCCCAGCGAGGCTGCTGCGATTTTTTGCAGGGCGTTTTTTGGGGGGCGAGTCAGTGGCAACAGACCCAGGACTGACGGAGCAGTCCACATGCACATGCACATGGACATGGACATTGCACATGTACATGTATGCTTCGTGCAGCCCCGCGAGGCTCCTTTTCTTTCCCCTCAGCGTGTCAATCATTCGGCAGGGAGCATGTTCGAGTGTGAGTGAGTGAGTGAGCGTGAGTGTGAGTATGATTGAGTTGGACGCCGCTGGATTCGGTACTTCAGCTTGGTACAGTATCTTCATATGAGATCACCACCAGGGCTACATAATGATACCCTCTTGAGAGGATCCGCATTGGGCGGCCCCTAGAGGATAGGTTGATACCCTGACGGTCTCTCTTTCGCTACGTGTTCGACGATCGTCGAACACAACCGTTCGACCATATGGCACTGTTCACAGCTGCACCCCACTCACAGTTATTGTTATGGTGTTATGGCAAGGCATAGCAGCCCATAACATGTTATGGGTGTTATGTGGGTGTTATGGGGCCGGCCCCATAACACCCATAACACCCATAACATGTTCATGGGCTGCTATGAGAGAGCCGTCCCCGGGATCCACGGTGTTATGGCCCGAGAGGCCACACCGAACTGCTCGCCGCTGGAATTTTCGCTTCGCGCGCTGCTGCGCGCGCGTGCGCGAGGTTCGGCATCGATCGCCAACTGTTTTCTCTTTTGCCCTCTCGGATCTCAGAGCACAGCGAGTTGTACGTGTGGTCGTCCTCCGTCGACACAAGACAGCACATAGTTGAAGCCGGGAATCCTCTTGAAGTCGGAGACGCGCAGGTCAACTGACGAGGGCTTCTGGCTCATGAACATCTTCATCCGGTATCCTCTACACCCTCCCTCAGTTGATACCCACCCTCGTGATTTACCCTTCCCTCTTCACACCTTTTCGCGCGCTGCGCGCGCGCCGAGACAGACATGAACGCGCTCGAATGAGCGTCGCGCAGGAGGGAGGCGAGGCGCACCACTAAGCAATGCGCTGGGCGAGGAGGGCGGCCATTGCGGCCGTCGTCGCATTGGGCGGCCTGCGGCCGCCAGCCGGGAGCCGGCTAGCGGGCTAGGCAGCCGGTGCGGCTGCAGCCGCGGGAGCGGCCGCGGCCTCTCGATGACATTGCCTTCCGCCTCGAGCATAATCGCTGGGAGAGTCACCTGGCAACGTTGCGTTCGCGCGAAATCGATGCCGCCTGCTATGTCCGGTGCGTGGTCTTGTAGTGGGTCTCGGAAGCTCCCCTCTCGGGCTAGGAGCCAGCCCCTCTCCCTTGCCCTCGGAACAGTGTGTCCGAGTCGAGGCGTGTGCTTGCCGGTCGACGCCCGCGCGCGGTTGGCATTGTGACGAAGGGCGCCGAAAAAAAATTTAAATGTGCGGTTTCCTGATTGCGGCGTGATGGAGGTAGGGTGCTTGATGGTGCCGTGTGCATATCACTGTCTCGATCGCTACTGTCGCTGCTGACCTTGCTTGTCTCGCGAGAACGCCGAGGGTCCTCACCGCGAAGAGCGAAAAGCGCACCGCCATGTCGCAGCCGAGTTATGGCGGAAGTCACGGCGGCGGCGCCAGCAGCAGTAGTGGTGCCGGGCCATCTTCAATGTCAGCCAACTCGGCCAGTTCGTCCGACGACAAGGTGCGCCGCCCTCCCTGCGTGTCTCGGCCTCCCGCGCTCGCGCCGTCCGCCAACGCGCGCGCGCGCGCGCGCGTCCCGCAGAACTTCCACCAGTTGGATGCGGTCGAGGCGGCGACGTTGATCCGCCTGAACGGGTTCCAGCGGACGCTGAAGGATGCGGTGAAAATACAAGACATACCCGTCATCGTGACGCTGGTGCGTGCGAGAGAATCCGGGGCGGGGCGGGGATATCCTTCTCTCTTCGCGTGCACTCGGGGCGCACCCTCACATCGCGCGCTTTACTTTTGAGTCTCTCCGGCGCGTCCCCGCCCCCTCTCCCCCCCCGGCCGCAGGCGTCGCCGCCCTTTGTGATCTACCACATCAACGAGCTGTGGTGCCGCCTCTGCGGCTACACCGAGTCCGAGGCGCGTGAACTCCAAATTCACCCATCCCTGCTCCCTGCCTTCTCCCCACCGCTCCTTTTCCCGCAGCTCGCCCTCGCCACAGCTCCCCACACGTCCCGCCCCGCCGCCGCGCCGCCGGCCGCGGTC